ATGCAATTGGAGGACATCATGTTAAATGAAGTAAGCCAGAATCAGAAACACAAAAGCAGCATGTTTTCTCCCATACATGGAAGATAGATCCAAAGATAAATATATGCACAAAGACAAGCATGATCATATAAAAATTCAGATGTAGAATAGCAGTGTTGAAAGTGGACATCCTTGTCTTGTTTCTGATCACAGAGGAAAAGCTTTCATCTATCACTCTTGAGTATGATGTTAGCTGTAGGTTTTTTTATTACATGATATAAAATAATGGATATTACATGTAACATCCTGAATTTACAACATTAACAACATAAAAGGGGGAGATGGAACTAGAAAGGAGCAGAGATCTTGCAGACTCTTAAAGTTTGCTATTAATTCAAACTGGACATGTTTTTAATAGTGGGACTACTCTATGGAACTTAGGGAAAGAGGGAAAGGAAAAGAGAATGATAGAGCATCAGTAATATCACATAGCATAAGATGTGACGGTAGAGGATATAAGGATGTGTATTGAAAGCTGTTGAAAAAGAGGGTTGGGAGGTAAAGGGGTAAAGGAGAGTAATGGAAGGGGTTGAACAGACCAAAGTAAAGTATACCCACAGTGGGCATGCATTAAGACACCCCTTTAAGGATTGGACTATGAGCACATGATAAAAGCGAGAGCACACAAGGGAGGGGTGAGGATAGGTAAGACACCTAAAAAACTAGCTAGCATTTGTTGCCCTTAATGCAGAGAAACTAAAGCAGATACCTTAAAGCAACTGAGGCCAATAGGAAAAGGGGACCAGGAACTAGAGAAAAGGTTAGATCAAAAAGAATTAACCTAGAAGGTAACACCCACGCACAGGAAATCAATGTGAGTCAATGCCCTGTATAGCTATCCTTATCTCAACCAGCAAAACCCCTTGTTCCTTCCTATTATTGCTTATACTCTCTCTACAACAAAATTAGAGATAAGGGCAAAATAGTTTCTCTGGGGGTATTGAGGGGGGGAGCGGGAGGGGTGGAGTGGGTGAAGGGAGGGGGTGGGGGCAGGGGGGAGTAATGAACCAAGCCTTGTATGCACATATGAATAATAAAAGAAAAATGAAAAAAAAAAAAAAGACACCCCTTTAAGCATCAACTTAAATATTAATAATGAAAACCAGGGCTGTAAAATAAGTACAGTGTGGGGGAGGGTTACTAGTGTGGGGGGGAAGTGAAGGAAGGAGATTAAGGTGAGGGTATATTGTAGATGGACTTCATATATCTATATGAAACAGAACTAAGAAACCTCTTTCAATTGCTTTAAGTAGGGTGGGGAGGGGGTTTAGGGGGACAGACGATGGGGGCAATGTAAATAATGTACAATATAAGTCTAATTGGAATTGTCACTGTGAATCCTCCCCTAAATAATGAATATATCCTAATAAAAAATTTATTTAAAAAAACCAAAGTATAAAATAGTTTCTGCTGGGTATTGAGGGGATGGGGGGGAGAGGGAGGGGACAGAGTGGGTGGTAAGGGAGGGGGTGGGGGCAGGGGGGAGAAATGACCCAAGCCTTGTATGCACATATGAATAATAAAATAAAAAAAAAAACCCAAAGTGTTATGAAAAAATAATGCAGAGTTATATAATAGAAAATAACTTGGTTGGTCACTACCTAAAGTGATCTTTTTTGAGGTAGAGACATTTGAGCTGAAACATGAATAAGAAGAGGAAGAAAAAGTCAAGGCACATGAAGATCTAAGGGAGAGCATTTTAGGCAAAGAAGATGGCAGACGTAAATGTCCTGATGTGACCACAACTTGACAATGTCCAGGAGACAGAAAGTCCAGCACAGCAGGTGCAAGTAAGGGAAATGCAGTTAGAGGAGGAGTTGAAGTAAGCAGGACTCCAACATGAAAGATTGAATTTAGTGGAAATTAGAAGCAACTTGAGCATTTTAAGCAAGAGAATGACGCAATAATGTTTACATATTTAAAAACACACTACTGTGTGAAAGGTAAATGGGGGTGAGCAGTGGGCAGCAAGACTGAAGGCAGGAAGAGTTATGAAGTTGCTGGCAACCCATGAGAAGGGCAGCGCACTTAGTGACTGAGGAGGCAGCGAAGATGGAGAGAAGGAAATCAGGAGGCAGGGTCAACAGAAATTTTCTATGTACTGGATATAAAGAGTGAAGAGAAATTAAGGATGACTCTAGGTCTTTGACTGACTTGAACAATTAGGTAGATGGTGGTGTTATTTGAACAGCTGTATTCATTACAGTGGTAGATAATTCTGTGTGTGGGGTGACAAAGCCAAAAGAAGAAACCTTTTGAGGAAGGAAAGTGCCCTGCATCTAGAGAGTCAAGTGCAAGGAGGAGGGAGAAGTGGCCATTGTTGTTGACAGCAGGGAAGTCACTGGTGTCAGAGAGGTGGTGGCTGAAGTGTAGTTGGCGTTTGCTCCACTTGAGCGTGCTCTTTTGAGCTTTTGAGCAAGTTTCTTAAATGACTTAGCACATCACTGTTAAGATTATGATGAGACAATAAAAGGAGAAGCAGTGTGAAAGCAAGATTGTGAAGCCTGCAGAAGAGAGAATGAAAGACCTGAACCTTTGCAATGCATCAAGAATGTGTACCCTCCTGACAGTGATGGCTGGAGATGCTACTCAGAGACAATAACTGCTAAATTTACAAGTCCATTATTCAACATGGCCATAATTAAAAGTAAATCATATAAACTAACAATTAAATATATGCATGTTAAAAAATAAAGTGATACTCAAAACTGGTAACTTCCTAGTTATTTTACTGTATTTTAGCATTATCAACATCCTTGAGGTTAATAATGACAATTAGATTAAAAAAAAAAAAAGTCACATTTGTAGCCATTGCACTGGAGATGTTTTAAAAAACTGAGTAAATAGACTTCCACATTCAAGACCTACTATCTGATTCAACAAATAAATTCTTTACATTGCTAATGAAAATTAAAGTTTTGACATAAGTTTGTTGTTTTGCTTTTTTATTTTGTCTTACCCAACTAAACTAAAGGATAATATCAATCAACACTTATGTTGGAATAAGTTCAGTTATCAATCGTAGCCTAAGGTAGATCAGGGACACAAGAGTTTGGCAAAAACTCAATGAAAATATTCTGTGAGAGTCAATTGGCAAAGTGGAATTTGCAGTAAAAATATTGCCTATTTATTATTATTTACACAGCTTTCTTTTCAGTAAAGCTTGTAATAAACTCCTGTTCAGATATATACTCAAAGTTGTTTTTCTTCAGAGCCAGTTGTTAAGTATTAGCAAGCCTACCACTGCCTCCCACCAAACAACAGTCAAGTTCAGAATTCAACTTTATGCCCTTGGATGTCAGAACTGTCTCATGGGAATGGAATGACAATAAAATCATAGATGGGAAATGGACGAATAGATGTACAAAGCTCTTTGAGATGTTTAAGAATAAAGGGAGCCTTAGCTAGTCGTGAGTTTGGAGGTAAGGAAGGGTTTTTAAAGAAAAAATAAAGAAAAGAACATCCTTAAATGTGATGGAAATGATCCAGTAGATCAGGGAAATACTGACGATAATAATGGAGAAAAGAGATTATTACAGGAACAAAATCCTTGAGAAGAGGAAACAGGACTGAAAGTATAAGCAGAATCGCTTCATACCTGTTAGAATTAGAATTCCCTATTATAGAACACTGACAACACCAAACGCTGGTGTGGATGTGGAGTAATAGGAACTCTTATCCACTGCTGGTGAAAATGCAAAGTGGTACAGTCAATTCAGAAGACACTTCAGTGGTATCTTAAAAGCTGAGCACATTCTTATCACCTGATTCAGCTACATTTCTGGTTATGTATCCTATGGAGTTAAAAAACTTAGGTTTATACAAAAACCTGCACAGATGTTCATAACAACTTTATTCATAATTGCAAAAACTTGTAAACAACCAAGATATCTTTCAGGAGGTGAAGGAAGAGATAAACTATGACATATAGACAATGGCATATTATTCAGCACTAAAAAGATGAGCTATCAAGCTATGAAAAGACATGGAGGCACCTTATATTACTGAGTAAAAGAAGACAATTTTGAAAGGTTTCATACTGTGTGATTCTAACTACATGAAAAACCTGGAAAAAGTAAAACAGTGGTTGCCGGGGACTTTGGCTGGAAGGGTAGAAGAATAACCAGGCAGAGCACAGAGATTTTTTAGGTTAGAAAAGATACTCATATGACACTGCTGTGATGGATACATGCATTTCACATATGTCCAAACTCAGAGAATATACAAGACCAAGAATGAACCTCAATGTAAACTATGGGCTTTGAGTGATCACAACGTGTCAATGTAGATTCATCAATGGCAACAAATGTACCACTCACTCTCAGGGGAGGGGAGATGATAATGGGGGAGGCTGTGTAGGGGCAAAGCAAAATATATGGGAAATTTCTGTGCCTTCCTCTCAGTTTTGCTGTGAACCTAAAATAGCTCAAAAAAATAGTCATAAATCTAAATTTTTCTTTATGCAGAAAAACTGGGAAGACAATTTACACATCCATTAGAAGGTGGGAGGTGAGAGTAGTGTAATGCAAAGATTACCTTTAAGTTCCATTCTAAATGCTGAGAAGCTGAGATTTGTTAGATCAGAGACATAAAAGCCATTTAGCTTCTATACATTATAAATTGGGCACATTTTCAACTATATATATATAGAAGCATCTGAAATCAGTGTTCTTGAAGTTCAAGGTGCTTTTTCACTTTAAATGTTTATCAGTCATTTTATGGAAGTGGCATATTTTGCAGAAAATAGCAAAACGAATGGCTTTCCTTTGTTAATGCATTCTTCAATGTTCAAAATAAGGATTCTGTTCTCTTTCTCCCTCTCCCTCTCTCACTCTCTCGCTGAATAAATCATACACCACTTCTGCTGCTTCCACTAATGGCAGACAAAACTTTCTGGGATACAGGAAGACAGTTTTGAGGGGAGACCTATGGGAAGAAAATTTTAAAAACTGTCTTACTTGTTACAACACAATAAGAGTTGTGATGGCCAAATCCTGGAATAGAAACTGGTAATTTGAAAGGCTGTTTGTCTTCTGAAAATAAAAAAGAAAAGCAAATCAAAAAGTTTATGATCTTTTGGATGATGCTTGATATGAATCACAGTGGTTTTTTTCTTACTATACAATAGGATTTTTCAAGTAAATTACCAAGGAGATGGTGGGGTCAGAGGTCTATTTGAGTTGGTGAGTGGTGGTGAAACCCTCTCCAACAAGTAGAGCCTCCTTCACGTGTGCTTTCTGGGCAGGGTCGTTTGCCTCAGTATTACCCTGGGTTGAAAGGAACTTTTACCTCTATTTAGATCCATCTCTGCTCTCATTCTGTTTATATCAGCAGAAAATTTTAGGGTTTGGTCTGATGCAAGAAAAGCATGCATCTTAATAGTAACAAGTGACAGATGAGTGGTAATCTTACCCTACATTTATAAGGGGAAAAAGAGAGTAACTGAACCCACAATTTTCACATCTTTGGGGTATTTTGTTTAGATGAAATGTTAGAAAATCTTAATGAAAGCACCTTCATACTCTTGAGGAAAAAGTGTTCTGTTCTTACTGCTTCAAGAACTGGCTTCCATTAATGGGAATGAGAGAATGATGTACCGTAATTAATTTACTTTTGAACATAATGAGTATTAAGACAAAAATAGGGTCAAATTCCTGAAAGGTAGCAACCTTCTCTAGTCCATCAGTGGGTATGAAAATATAGGTAATCTGAAAGCAGGGGAACTAAAACCCTAACCTGAGAGAAAGCGGGAAAGAGAAAAAGGTGAAACCTAGATATCTACAGCATAAACAAATTCCCTTTCTTAGTGTTAGTATTAAAGAATAAGCTCACATATTGAATTCACAAGCAATAGGCATGTCTGTTATATCCTATTAAATGATAAAAAGTCATCAAACAGGAATATACATATTTTTTAGTATCATATGCCCAATTTTAAATATCCTTATATTCAGGTAACCAGAAATATGTTGGTTTGTGGCTTAACTTTTGAAAGTCAATTGATAAATTTTCAGGGCAGTTGTTAAACACAACTAAAATAAAAACTTAAATTACACAAATGTACTATTAAATAAATTATACTAAAAACAAAGTTGGTAAATGTTTAAGGGGATGGTTGTGGCTCAACCTGAAGTCCCAACTACTTGGGAAGGAAGAGAATGGGAGATCAACTGTTCGAAACCAGCCTGGGCAAAAGTTAACAAAACCCCCATCTCAATCAATAAAGCCAGACCCAGTGGCACATGCCCCTGTTGATCTCCAAGTAACAAACAGGAGGTATAACGTAGGAGGATTGCCATCCAGGCCAGCCTCCAGGAAAAAACTCAAAGCCCTGTCCTGGAAAAGCAACTAAAAACCAAAGGGGGTTGGAAAGGTGTGGACCTGAGTTCCAAAACCCCAGGCCTGCCATAAAAGAAAAACAGAGACAAAGATAAAGATTTAAAGACCCAGCACTTCCTAATTATTTTCCTACATTTTAGCTGTTACCTATTGTTTTGAGGCTATTTATTAGATCTATATCTTTGGTGGCAAGTACTACATAAGGGCAGGATGCCGCTGACCGCATCTTTTACTACCCTCCACATTCAAGTAACACCAGGGAGAATGCATGAATGGCTATGGGCGTAAGTTATGACAACCACTGACAACTAGCAAGATCAATATATGAGAGGAAAGCAGTTAAGAGGCACTGCGCAGACATTATCTCCTTAACGAACGGAGTATGTTTGGAGTAGAGGCACCTGGAAAGCGGGAAGATAGAGACGCTGGTCCAAGCACGTGAAAGCAACAGTAGGAAATTGAAGTAATTTACTCCATTAATGAGCTCAGCCAGAACATCCTATGTCAGAAAGCCAGAGAGATGATAACCAACATCTTGTCCTATAGCAAAGTGTCTGATTTCTGATTTATTGATTTAATTTTATAAAATCCTGAAGATCTTTTTAGAATCCGAGCACTGAAATGCTTCAGCTATCCTATTTGCATCTTGCTTTTTAAGAGGCAGGCAAATTGCACATTGTGTAGTTCTCACTAACCAAGATGCTAGGCCAAGTCATACCCAGTAGAGCGCAGAACACCATATACTGAATCATGCCTGTACACAGCCATGTACTTAAACATGAAAATGAGGTACGAGAGCCGCAGTTTTCCTGTGTAGAAAAGGAACGAATGAAAGCAAAACGAGGGGAATTAGGCCAGTTATTCTGCCGCTGTTCACATGAACGTCAGGAACATCAAAAATAGAAGTCTCGAATTATAGCAAATGCTTGTCTGACAGATGGGACAGCCTTGGCCAGTGGGAGCTACGCGTGCCAGTACATAAATGATAGATGTTCAGGAACACCACTTCCAAGCAATGTCCACAGCCTTGACCTGGCATTGAACCCTAGTTTTAGCAATTATTCTTGTCCCTTCTTGCAGGCATTGCTTCAGCTCTGACTCAGAGTGGGATGGGAACTAATCCATATGCTCACACCCGTGCACTGATGCAATTTGCAAGGTCACTTCCCTTTCTCAAGTTTCTTCATCTGTGAACTAAAGGATGTAAATAAGATTGCAGGTTTGAAAGATAGTTTTCAAGAAGATGCTTCAGGAGTTTGGGAAACATTTTGATTCAACTTTTACCTTGCAGTCCACACCTTTCAAAAACTGGACTAAATAATGTGTAACTCATTAGACTTTTATCAATTAAAGTTGACTGGCACAATGAGCATGTTCCTTTACATGTTATTGTTGACTGACTTTGAGTAAACAGTACATATCTAAATTATAAATACATGACTTGTGAAATGCTACTTTCTTCTGTTTCATTTGGGGAAAACATAGGGCTTTAATTTACTTATGGTCATAATGCTTTCCTGGGATTCCAAAAACTCCAACAATGTTTTATGTTGGAGCAGGGCTCTGCTACTGCCTTTTTCTTACCTGAAAGCAGTTTCTTCTTATTCCTCATCCTTAGAGAGGTGTTTCCAAGACACTCTGTCTGAAGTAGCCCATTCTTCCTCCCAGCCACCTTGTAGCCTTTCATACTACCCATTTTATTTCTTTGACAGAACATATCAAAATCAAATAAGTACCCTCTTTTTTTATATCCTGGCAATAAATATTAGTCAAATGCATAAATATATGTTTAAAGGAAGAGATAACCAACATCATAATTTTGATATGGGAAAAAAGGATAATTATAGATTAAGTTTGTTTAAACAAACTCAGTTCTCTAATATAATATCTAGCCCTATATGAATATATGAGCTTGGGCATACAGGTACATTCTCTGAGCCCAATTTGTTCATTTATAAACAAATAATAGGCATTCCTACATCTTCAGGCTGTTTTTGAAGTTTAAGATAGTAGCTCTAAAGCCTACTCTTTAAACTATAAACACAGGTTGTTATGATAACAGCAGCCACGATCTTTTCATTAAACAAAATGCAGAAGCACATTTCTGGGGAAAAATAAAGCCCAAAGTAAATTTTAGTAGGAGCAAAGATGAATTGAGATTTTGAAAACTGGAGATGAGAAGGTTACCCAAGGAAGCATAAAGAGGCAAAAAGGAAGGAAGACAAGTGGGTTCTCTCAACACCCCAGGATAAAGCATCTAAGAAGGAAGTCACATTTTTAAAAATTAAGAGGATGATTGACACTTCAAAACAGCAACAATTGTCATAATCCAATCCTCCAAAATAATCTAGCCAATGTCTTTCTTGGGAGTGGCTCTGCTCTCCCAACGTTATTTATAACTCCTGGGAAGCCATTAGGCAATAGGATGCATTTTTACACATAGCTCCCTCTCCACTGAGGGAGCACAAAGCTTCACTGGCCTTTCCTAGGCAGAACAATGTAATCTGAACTAAAGTCAAGACAGAGAAATAATGCTGGGCTAAGTGCCTACTTACTTGATAAGGTGAGGTAACACTCAATGTTTTGGAGTTTTTGAAGTGAAAGGTGAAGCCACAGATGCCTCCTGCTCTGATAAAGAGATGCCCACATGAGCCATTTCAAAGCCTGAAAGCAAAGAGTTAGTTTTACTGCCTGTGTAGGCTCACAACACCTCTACTGAGGCCACACACACACCAAAACAGTCCAGTTAACTTGGCTACACGGTGGCTTGTGGGCCCAACACTAACCAGGAGGTGGCCAGACTTACCCTACCTGCCATATAAGAAGAGCTAGCACTGGAACACTTAACCAAAGAAGTGGGAATTCCAGAACCAAGTTCTACCTCATTTAACCTATAGTGATTACTGGTCTTTGTGAGGCTTTGGTCCAAACCCTCCCAAATCTTCAGCATCAGTTTATCCATCATGAGGATGCAAATGTATCCAGTAGATACTATTTCTAAAGAGCTCCAAATAGATATTATTGAGGGATTATGACCCACACACTGGCAGTGACTTACCCCACAGTCATTGGCTCCATCACCACACATACCTACAAAGTAACTAAAAGGGAACCGTGTGAATTGTAGAGGAGATGAAAGCTATCTTACCAACTAATTTCTCGAGTTAAAAGGACAAAGTGACCATAATTATTCAGTTTGTAAACTTATTCATTACTGTAAGGGAGTTTCTCTAAGAGTCTGATTAGAAGTAAAGTATGACTCAGCAACCTGGCACATCGTTCCTAACTCCTAGCATTTCAGATAAACACTGCACTTCATTGCTTAGGGAACAGCTTTCTTGGTTACAAAATAGGGATGCTCACAATCAAACGATGAGATACCAGCACAGTGGAGAAGGCACAGGATCTAAACCAGGAAATCTAGATTTTGATCTGGTCATCTTACCATTTTAACCATCATTTTTCACCTCTACAAAGAGTTTTTAGTATTAAATGAAGTGCTGCCTGGGAAAGTGCCTTAGAGAGTCTAAAACAATAAGCAAAGCATTAGTCCTTGGTAACGTTAATACTAACACATGCCTGCTTGGTGGCCAGGCATGATGGTACACACTGTGTTCAAGGCCCAACTAGGCTACAGGGTAAGACCTCTGCCTCAAAAGAAAAAAAAAAAAAACTACAATAAAAAGCCACCCTGTTGGCAACCACTCAAACTAAAAAATGATGTGCCAGGCCCAGAAGTTGAAGAAAAACTTCAGGATGGCTTTTTGAGGTTGGAAGACTACTTCTCTCTGGAACTGTTGACAAAGATCATGAAAGGTAGGCTTTGTAAAGCACAGCACCCTGACAGCATTCACAGAATATGCTGTACTTTCTTTCATGCTGCTATAAAGCAACTAGTTTATCCTCTAGGCTTTCAGACATGAGAGACAAGGAGGGCTTTCTGAATTGAGAAGCTCTCCTAATGACTGAATTGTGTGACTATGAAAGTAGGAGCAAGAGTCTACTTCATGAGGTTCCATTAATAGGAAATGAGATTCCATTACAGGAAATAAGGTTCTATTACAGGAAATGAGATTGGATTAACAGGAAATAAGGGTCCCAATGATGGGCATTTTGTTTGGAATTGCTCATCTGGTCTAGAATGGAAGCCCTTTCGTTAGAAGTATTTTTATGTTTGGGAATGAAAGTATGCTTTAGTACAATAATAATAATCTGAATACTATTAATCTTGTCATATGAATCTCCCTCTCTAACTGTGATGATGATTATAAAAATAAAGTCAAAATTCTCATTGTACCTTCAGGATCTGAGCTCAAATCTCCTTTCTGATCGTATTTCAATATACTCTCTCATGCCCCTTACAGTCTAGTCCAGTGATTCTCAACTTTGAATATAAAATTGACTACATGAGGAGTTTTGAATAATAAAATTTAAGCTCTGTATAGTAATTAAAACTGATCTCTGGACAGTAGGTCCTGGGATTGCTAGTTTTTTAAAGCTCCTCAGTGATTGTCATGTGCCCAGGGTAAGAACCACTGCCTAGCTCAACCTCTCACATTCCACCCCCTCCCTTACTATCAGGCTACACACAATTCATGACATCTGAACTGGCTAAAGAACTTACTCCAATTTCTGATTCTTCCACCAGACTGGATTTCTGCCCTGGAGACATTCTTGCAAAGATGGTCCATTGATCAGTATCTGTAAAGGAACCCAAAAGGAAATGTTTTTATGCTAGCTAATCAGAACATGAAAATAATTGAAAACAGAACATTGACTGGGTGATGATGTTAATGAATGAGAAAAAAAGTCTGTTTGCAAGAATCCGTTTGTTTTTATTTTAAGACAGAAGTCAAACTTGGTGTGGTAGTGGCACACCTGTAATCCAGCTACTCAGAAGGCAAGATGGAGGATCATGGTCCAAGACTACCCTATTGAAAAAAACACTAAAGGCAAAAAGAACTAGGGGCAGATGAGACTAACAGCAGAAACCAAAAATCTTCCTTAGTAAATATCTTATGAAAATAATAATCTAAAGGAATTTAGCCAAGCTACCATGGAGATTGTGACCCTGAAAATTTTGAGCTCCATGGAAACTTTGAAATTAGAAGAGTGTGAGAAATTACAACACAGCAAAACATCAGGATCAAGAAGAAGTAAACAAGCAACACTTCTCAGAAAAATTGTTCAACACTAGTAGAAAATAGCCTAATCGTAAAATAGTGACTATTCATGGTCTGTTTTGTTTTTTGTTTTGTTTTGATTTTGGCAGTACTGGGGTTTGAACTCAGGGCTTCAAGCTTACTTGGCAGCATTCTAACCACTTGAACCATGCCTCCAGACCTTTTAGCTTCTGATTACTTTAGAGGTAGTGTCTCACTTTTTGCCCAGATCAACTAGACCACGATCATCCTATTTTTAAGCTTCCCACCCTCACTGGGATGACAAGCTTTTTTCCATAGATGAGGTCTTACGAACTTTGTTTTCTGGACTGACCTGACTGCCATCCTCCCAATCTTGGCCTCCTGCAAATTTGGTATCATTACACAATGGAATTTTATGCAGCCATGAAGAAGAACGAAATTTTATCATTCGCTGGTAAATGGATGGAATTGGAGAACATCATTCTGAGTGAGGTTAGCCTGGCCCAAAAAAACCAAAAATCGTATGTTCTCCCTCGTATTGTGGACATTAGATCAAGGGCAAACACAACAAGGGGATTGGACTATGAGCACATGATAAAAGCGAGAGCACACAAGGGAGGGGTGAGGATAGGTTAAGACACCTAAAAAACTAGCTAGCATTGTTGCCCTTAACGCAGAGAAACTAAAGCAGATACCTTAAAGCAACTGAGGCCAATAGGAAAAGGGGACCAGGAACTAGAGAAAAGTTAGATCAAAAAGAATTAACCTAGAAGGTAACACCCACGCACAGGAAATCAATGTGAGTCAATGCCCTGTATAGCTATCCTTATCTCAACCAGCAAAAACCCTTGTTCCTTCCTATTATTGCTTATACTCTCTCTACAACAAAATTAGAAATAAGGGCAAAATAGTTTCTGCTGGGTATTGAGGGGGAGAGGGAGGGGGAGGAGTGGGTGGTAAGGGAGGGGTGGGGGCAGGGGGAGAAATGAACCAAGCCTTGTATGCACATGAATAATAAAAGAAAAATGAAAAAAAAAAAAAAAAGAAACTCAGCAGCTATTGCAAACCTAATTTGAGCTGTTCCAGCTCAATCCACTGAAGCTTCCTTCTATAAACTCTAAATTCTTCTGCACTGGAGCTGTGTGTTCCCTTCTCTTCTTAGTAATAAATTCAGTGTTCACTAAGTATTTATTCTTTAGCAGACCTGCCCCTATTGTGGGTTTGCTCTCTATAAGAAAAGCATTAAATTAAACTTTCTTTAGTATATAGGTCCTCTAGCAAAACCTAAAGAAGTTCTTTCATTCTTGCCTACCTTCCTGAGATCCTTCACTGTGGTAACATAGTGAGAGCTACTTAAAATCAGTACTTAACACTGACACTTCAATCCTATAGATGGTGGAAACTTGATCAGTGAAGTATATTTACTTCCAATCTAATAGGAAACAACAGTAATCTCTACAAAACTATCTGCCTTTCTTATGTAGAACTAACTAGGTGTAGTATATCTCACCTAGTAAAAAGGTTAAAATTACGGTCATGCTATGTAAGTGATGTGATCAGCACTGTCACAAAGAAATCACAACCATCACAGAACTCACCTTTGGCAGTAGGCTGCTGAAATGTTGACTTATAACATGAAAGGATTTTCCACTTAGGGCAAAATGGTAACTTCCTTCTCTGCCATTATCAGAGACTTCTTCCCTGATGTTAATGAAATTGTCCTGCAAAACAAAATATAGTTATTTTATTCTTTCATTTAGTAGGACCAGGACTACAGCCTATCAGAGACAAGGGAATGAAAAACAAACCAGGCTCTCTAAAACTCACACTCCATCCCTGATTCCTCAGAGAAGTGTTTTGTCTTTGCTGGATCAATCTTCGCACATCACAGCCACAAGTGAATAGGAGAATAACACTTACTCATGTCTTGGTCTCATCCTGATTTGATCTCCATGAGTCCCAGTGAAGAGTGCATTTCACACATTTCAAGTGTAAAATACAAAAGCACTGCAGCTTAACAAATCTCTCCCTGAAGTGAGAACTTACTATTTTTTCTTACTGAATTATTGTTTCACAAGGACTCAATGAAAAAGAATACTGACAAAACTGGAGAGAAATGAATTTTTTCCTATCCTGAAGACATAGTCTGATTTCTGATCACAGTAGTGTCTCTCCCATGGACTAAATCCCCTTTTGAACCCAATGGGGTAGTGGACAAGCAAGAGAATTTGTGGGAGATTCACAGCTCTGCTTACTCATACAAAGCCAAGTTCTTAGGTGTAAAGGAATGGATTATCTCTAGTATCCAGGAAATCCTGTACTTTAGAGCACAGTAGGAACAGTACAGAAAATTGATATAATTGGGTTCATGAAACTGCACATTGTTAGACATCTGGAGAAGTAGGTTGACTCTCAGTCACCTCAATACCTGTGTCAGTCACAGCTGTCACTTGCCAACACTGTGAAACAAGTTAGGCAAATATGGTAGAAGATCTGTTTTCAGGTATACCTGATTCCCATATGCAATCTGTTTTTTCTCTTCTACTAATTTCCAAGATATAGATGCTGAGGAGGATCCCATGGTTTCATTTGCCTCGATAAGAATGACTTTCTGGCTTTCAGAAACCATCCCAGACTTCCTGGCTACTGTTATTGCTGTCTGAAGATTGTCACCTAGAAAAAAGGAAGAGCATCCCAAGATGAGACTGAAGAGATAGAACCAACTCATGGAAAGCCTGGAAAATTGGCATAAAGCATTCAGTCCTTATTTTAGGTATGAGAAAAAATGATTTCTAAGATTTTTTTTATCCCTAATTTGTGATTCCATGATCCCTTTTCAGATTTTGACTCATTTTTAATGATGTTATTTCATGACCTACCAAGGCATTTTTCCCAAAAAAAGAGAAAGGAAAATAAGAAGCAGCAAAATTCAAATCTATTTCTGCCATTTGCTAAGAGCTTTGCAAATAGTTAGGAAATCCCTACTGGCTTAATATTGTACATGGTGGGTCCACTTTTAGTCAAGATGGAGTAAGTCCATTTTAATTTCTGTCACTTCCACTGATCACAACTGAAAACTCTGAACAAAAAAACAGAAGCAACCACCCAAGGGTTGTGAAAAGTAAACAAAAGCAAGCAGCCTGTGGAAGGGAGTCAAACTTGGACAAACTACCTATTGGAGGTGAGTTTCTCAGCTTTTTTTCTCTTTCCTCTCAGAAGTTTGACTTGAATGTATGCCCTAGTCCCAGAGCTGTTCAGGCAGCTGAAATCCCATGAGAAATCCAATTTTTCAGGCCAGAGAAGCCAGAAACAGGGATGCTTGTAGGTTATAGTGTACAGGGAAAATACTGGAAAGAAGAAAGCTGGAAAAAGACTAATTCCCTACAAGCCCCAGGCTTAACCTAGAGTTATGGCATGTGTGGGTCAGACCCAGAAAAGGAAAAACACAAGTTTCAAGAATTGAACTATGATATAAATCACTTCCCATTTGTCAGAGTAACCCTGAGTGGGCCAGACCCAAACATCGTAGCAAAAAGATTTAATGTCTGAGCTACTATTGGAATCACCATCTCTAAGGGCAAAACAAAACTTGTGGTTAGTTGCTGAGTAATACAAAACAAAAAAAAAAAAAAAAACTTAAAATTCTCTAGAGGATTTTAACAGGAGCCAAAGTCTCACAACATTATATTCAAGATGGTAAAGATACTCAAAACACAAAACACAAATAAAACCAACCAAGCAAAAAAAAATCTGTCCAATTCTTAAAAGACTTAAATTTACAGTTTGAAGAAGTTCAATTAAACCCAATCAAGTTGAACTTGGTGAGAACCACACTCAGACACGTAAGAATCAAACTGCAAAAAACCAAAGATGAAGAAAAAAGCAATTAGAGAAAAATAACACATTACTGATAATAGAACAATTACTAAAATTATCAGATTTCTCATCAAAATCATGGATACAAGAAGTCAGTTGAACCACATCTTTAAAATTCTGTAAGAAATGAACTGTCAACTCTGGCTCCTATAGCTAGTAAAAATACTCTCAGGAAAAAACTGAAAAGTAAAACCATTCTAAAAGGAAGGAAAAAAAGATAGTTTATTTCCAGTAGACATGCCCACAAGAAAATGCTAAAAGGAGTTCTTCATAATGAAAAGAAATGATCCCAGAGGCTAATTTGTACTTAAGTAATAAAAACATAGTAACAAAAACAATACAGTTCTGTGTAAATATGAAAAATCTCATTTTCTTCATGTAGGTTCAACTCCCAACTGTTGAGAGCAAAGATTATAACATTATCTAATGGGAGTTCTCAATGTATATTGTTAGAAATGAATATTTCAATTAAATACATGAGAACGAAGAATTGTCTTAGCAATGCAAAACTTTACTTCTGTCCAGAAAGGTGCTAGCATGCACGTGGGCAAAACCAGCACAAAGTGGGGTGGGCAGTCCATCATTCCCCTTACATCCCCGACATGAACAGCCTGCCTCTTGTCCTGGTTGGCCAAGATCAAAAGTTCACACTCTTCTAGGCCCACTGAAATTCTATACCTACTTGAGGGAGGTGTTAAGATAGAATAGTGGGCAATTCTAGTGGGCAGAGGGGGCTCAGCAGTAATCCAGACAAAGAAGTGGGAAATACAGGCAATGAAAATGGTGACATATACTTTGAGAGAAAAGACTTATTTTCTCATACTGTCATACTTAAACAACCATAAATAGAGTAGGCAAGGGACTTCCCTGGTTGTAAGCCTTCTTGAAATAATAGGTATTGACAGTGTGATTCCTAGAATACCATGAACACATAATAACATCTGGCTGGCTATCCCAATCATGGCTTTTCCTAGGTTTCTAGCACAATATTTATGTGAAGAGCTAGGCTGGTGGGAAGGCGCAATGGTAGCTGAGATTGCAAGAGCACATATAGCCCTGAGACATAAGAAGCTTTCCCTGACTCCTACTCCTCAGCAGGGCACCAGCTGCCTTCAGCTTTTCAACACAGACCCATTTCACCTCCATTACCTGGGACAGTGTGGGACAAACAGCCCAGGCCTGAGCTCCAGTCATCTGACAAAGAAATTTAATAACTTGTAACAATCTAAGAGGTCCCAGAAGCTGGGTAAGAAAAGTTCAGGCAGAACAAGAAGAACACATGACTGGTGAAGTAGAGCAGCTGCTGGAGACACATGGAACCTGTGTTAATAACATGAAAGCACCAAGGAAATACAAATGCAGCACCCAAATAAATAAGTAAGTAAACAGGGTTTCAAAAGCCACTCCATCTCAAAGCATGATTTATGTACACAGCTCAATAGGTGATTAGAGGGAGATAATGATCATTGTTGAGACCTATGATTGTGATTTGGAGAAATTGGATGCCCTCTATAAAAGTCTTAAAATACAAAGCAAAATTATACAAATATAACAACCACAAGAAAATAGATAAGAGGTTGAGAGGTTGGATCCAGGGGACTTGTAGATCTATCATGTGATACTAGAAATTCCACAATGGAAAAAAAATAATAAGACAAAAATAAAGGTAACAATTAAGAGAATAATGCAGAATATTTTCCTGAAATGAAGAAAGGCAGATTAAAAGTGCTATGCTCCAGAATGAGTTAATTTAAGAGAGAAAAAGAAAAAGACAAACATGTGGGCATAACCTGGTAACATTTCTAAACTCCAAAGGTTAAAAAAAAAAAATGTGCAAAAAATAGTTAAGTTCCTACAGTGGACTGCCATTGTATTTTTACAATGTCAAAAGTCAGAAGGCAAAAAATAATAGCATTTACACACAGATCATTAAGAAAAAAGAACTATAACTTATGCCCCTGTCAGAGCCGAGAAAGAAATTCCAGGATATGTAGAAATCAGAAAACATATCACTCTTCTATCCCGTCCAAGGACAACACTGGAGAAAAACAAATTGCAAACAAGAAAGAGAAAAAAGACAGAGCCCAAAAAAGTAATTGAAGGAGGGTAGAAAGTGGAGGGCTTTATTTATCCAACATCTAAATGACTAAAGATAGATTATGAATATGTCTAACATAAATGCTAAATAAAGATTTTGAAATAGAGCAGTCATAGGGTAAAAGAAACTAATTAGTAGTAAACTAATTCAACAAGACCTAAAAGTTGAACTGGGGACTAGAAGAGGAGAAAGTAAAAGTATCCAAGAGTATCTTGGATCGTGGGAGCTACGCTGGGGATGGGTAAGCATAGAAGGAGGAGTAAAAGTGTTGTGGAGTTCCCAACTTTACTCCTGGATTCCAGTGAAATGGGAGTAGAGATAATGCTTTGGTGGGGAAATAATGTCTCAATGACAGAAATAATAGAGTCAAAAGCATCTGACTATGACATCAGTGGCAGCACATGGTCAGAATACATGAATCCATCAGGAAACCATTCACTTCTATTCTCTTCTCAATTAAAACGTCACAATGTCCTTTGAAAAATGTTTGTTAAGAAATTTCATACTTTTCACTTGAGTGATCTCTTCTCATTGCCCCTTGTTTGTGTCATCTAGGGTTTGGGATTAAGTGTAGAGAGGACAGCATGGTTTTATCTACAGAATTATAGAGTCTCTTATTGATAGGCTTCAGTGTAGTATGTAGACCACATTGACTAAGCATTCTTCTCCTACCATTTGACAATAAAAATCATAGTCTTTGCATGACCCCTGTCTTCCTGGCATTCAAGCCTTATTTCAAATGTCACCACACAAAGAGGCCTTTCTTAACTGCCATGTCTAAAGTAGATGGTTAGACACACTTTACCACATCGCCCTATTTTGTTTACCTCAACACATTTATTACATTAATTTACTGATTGATTATTGATTGATTTTCTTTCATCCTGCCAAAATGGAAGCTTGTTGCCCACATCAAGTTCTCAGTTTCCATGCACACTTTGTTCAATACCTGTGATCATTACAGTCTTTATCTGAGCAGAGATGAGCTCCTCCAAGACTGGCTTTGTCTCATTCTTCAATCGATTCTCCAAGATCAGTAATCCCAGAAATATCAGGTCTGATTCTACCTTCTCCCTGGAGAGAAACATAATCAGGAGATATATATATAGAGAGAGAGAGAGAGAGAGAGAGACAGAGAGAGAGAGACAGACAGAGAGGGGAGGATTGATTAAACAGAATTGGCACATTATAGATTTCTTACAGTAATTAAGACAAAAAGATAATGATTCCCATCAAATGGCCCCATTCACTCAAGCACTATTCCTTAGCCACTGATTATGTGACAGAACAATTCAGAAAGAGAACAGGAGGAGACATTGGGGATGCTAATGCATTAACTCTGATTCAATCAAGAGAAAGGGGCACTTGCTAAACAAGAACTTGGCTTTAATCTTTGTAGAGAATGAGCTAGTGACTTCAAGGGTTTCTTCTATCTACTATGGCTTGTCTGATTTTCATTACCTTGCCTATTACCCACAGAGAGGAGTTCTAGTTCTGATATAAAAAAACACCATGACAAATAAGTGAGGCAAAATAAAATAAAATAAAATGCTGGTTTCTCTAGCAACCAAGGCTATAATCAATACCATTTTAGCCCCAGGAGGTATGGTCTAGGTTAAAAAATGGGACTTTTCCCCATCTTTTCACGCTTCTACATAGAATGTGAATGTTGCTATAAATGAGGCCTCCAAGACTCCTATCCACCACAAGGATGTTTTCAAGAACATTCTACAGGACCAAATATGTGGACTATATTTGGGGTTAGAGATTCAAAGATTCTTCCATGGTTCCCTTATTTAGACACAGATACAAGAACAAGACACCAACCCTTCTTAATTCTGGCTGAAATATAGATGAAAGCAGTACTCCACAAGCCCTCTTGCCTAGCTTGACCTGGGCACATCAATGTTGGCTCTCACATCAGCCAGGGCCTCTATCTTGTTAGTGATGTTCCTAGAAAATTGTTAATATCTCCACTAGACAGTAAGAACAGACATTGTTTCAGCTTCTTACATCAGAGCAGGTTCCAAAGGATGGCATTCCCATTGCTCTGAACTGGCATTTAAATCTCAATATTAACTGGTTCCAAACTATCTTTCCAGCTTCATCTGTCACTAAATTCTCCCGTCCTGTCTCCAGCCCAGTTGAACTACTCATCATGGATATGCTCTATACTTTCTCATCTCTAGGCATTTGCTCCAGAATGCTAGACTGCCTTCCTTAGTTCATGGAATTTGTTATAATTTCCACCATTGAGTTTCTTCCTATATTTTGAGGCTTAGCTCATGTGCTCCTCCCTTACCAAGGTTTCCCCAGACAGAAATAATTGTTAACTGGGGCATATTACTTCTGCCTCAGTTTAGCTCATTTTATTTGCCAATGTAGTATGATTGTTGGCTTTTTTATCTGTCTCTACTTTCTTCCAAGTTTTTCCAAGAGTTGCTAACTGCTTCACAGAATCACCTCCTTGACAGCATTGACTATTGGTGGTAGTTGAGACTACACTATATAGCATACCTGTATCAGCCTCCATTTGTAGCTGCCACCAGCGCAATGATTTTACACACAGGTGTGAGCAATGTACTTGTTTTGTTTTAGTGGAGTCAGCTGAGAATTTACTGACTTATTTTTTGTGATACATTATTTTTTGCTTTTATGTTAACTTTAAAGGAAGGCATTATATTTGCCTTTTACAAAGAAAATATAGGTAATGTTACCTATAAATTCTATCTTAGTATATTAAAGAAAAAGCTTAAAATATAGTTAAAACTAGAGTGTCCAGTCTGATAAGTTTGAAAACAAATATGTTAGATCTTTCACATTTAAAATCTTAAATAACAAAATGAGCCTTGATTAGCTCCAGTGTAACTAGCAGTGTATTGGAAATGGCATTGAAGGTAAAATAAACATTACAGCCTAAAACAGTGAGAAATTAAGCTACAATGATGAAAGTTGAACTCCTAATTACTTCTATCCATTGTAACACACACGCGCACACACACACACACATGCACATGGGTGCTTCAAAGCATTTCTTCTTTTTCTGCAAAGATTACCTAGGTTAAGTAAATCCAATTTATATTTCTTTGTTTCCTTAAGCTGTATTAAGAGTTTTTCAGGCAACTGTTATGTTTTGCTACTTCTGACCAATCCACCAACCATAATTTTTTCAAATGGGGGCATGACCACAATTTTAAACTTTGAAATACTGGTTATAGTCATATGACTGTTATCACAAAGCCATAAAGTCACATTGCATTTTTATACAACTATTCCTCATAAACCCTCCCACTCATTGTTCCCATCAGCTTTGTGATTCGGGCAGAGCAGGGGTGACTATCTCTGGTTACCAATATTCAGACACACTCTATGAACAAAAACTGAGCAAGCCAAGTTGCTGTTCCTCACCCCCTAGCACCCTTGAATCCCACTGTAGTTCGCACCTTCCCACCAAATCATTCTGCTTTATGAAAATCCTCTCCTTTTACCTTGTCAAAGTTGTATGGTGGTCAGTTTCCAGCTTCTTGTAGGCCAGAGCTATGACCCGGAAACCCTGTGTCGTGTAAATCTGAAGATCACTAATAAAACTAGTTGGTACTGTTCAGAAAACAACACAGGATTAGTATACAATGTTTACTTAGCCAGTATTGGCAGAGAAATTCTTTATAAAATCCAACTCTTACCCAAGACAATACACTTCTAAAAAGTTACACAAACAAATCATGAGAATTATAAACACAACTACATTGTCAAGGTTAACTTCTTAGGATCCAGGGAAGCTGAAATGAGAAGGAAGCATATAAAAAGGGAAAAAGGATAGAGAACAAGAAGAATGCTTTTTTCTCCTGTTTAATCAACACATTTATTGAGGGTCTACCATGTGCCAGGTATTGGCTGTGTAGAGGTTAAACTGAAAACTCTCCACTGTAAGGATTTCTGTTTACTTGGGTAAAAGTGTTATACTAACACTGTAACCAAAGATGATCATTGCTGTGATTCAGCAACTGCACAGGATACAGATTCACTTAGGAGTGCCTGTAATAGCTCAGGAGGAAGTAGATAAGTGAAGGAAGGAACAAGCTTTTGGACTGAGTGACTGAGACAGTAATCCTTGAGTAGATGGTTTAGCTCAAGGGAAGCACAGAATGTGAGGAGTAGAAAGGTGTTATGTGGAAAATTTAATAGGGTCAGATTGTAAAGGCCTTATCTATGATCCTAAAGGAATTTGAGAATGTAGTAGAACCTATGGGAAACAGCCAAAGGAATAAAACCAAAGAGATTTACAACATAGTTGTGATGAAAAAACCTCTCAGGTCACTGCATGGAATACAAATCAGTTGGGGAGACTGGAAGCGGAGGGACAATTCACCAACTATTGAAGTGATATGATATGAGGAGGATCTAAGTTGATGCAGTAACAGGGCCATGGATATGGAAAGACAGACATGCTGAGGAGAGAGAAGAATCACAGATGGCTCCCAAATTGTGGGCCAGGTACAGATGGAACCATTACCCAAGATGGAAAATTGGGAAATACAGGAAGTAAGGAAGATGAACTTGATTTTGGTATTCAGTTGGGAATGCCAGTGAGTCAGCCAATTGGGGATGACCAGCAGGCAACTGGATTTATAGACAAGTGCAGTGGGGACATATTTGGCTGGAAATACAAAGTTGTCCATTGTAATCCAAGTCTGTTCACTAACCTGTCTCAGGTTGACAAAAGCTGGCCACTCTCTCAGGAGCACCTTTCATGAATACCAGTTGGTCACCTCCTATCTCTTGGACAATGACTGTCATCCTCTGCAGTGATGATGAGAATGGGAACTGATGCAAGACTGCAATTCCTTCCACTGACACCTGGTTGAGGAATGGGGAATAGAGAGGAGCATACTGGCCTAGCTTCCAGTTGTTGGGAGTTCACTATTCCTCCCTCAGTCCTTATTTTAGCATAGAAAGGGAAAAGCTACCATTATTTTTCACACATTAAATTCAAAGTCATATCTGTGAACTTTCAAGAGAGTTTCCCTTGGAGTTTGAGTGTTGTGGGGTGAATAGCATGCAAGACTTACCTGACTGGCTGCTTTGCAGGGCTTAACTATCATGGCATATGCTGGCACTCCCTTGATGTGGAAATCATCTCCAGGCATAGCCATTTCCTGTTTCACAAATGGAATATTTCATTGTAGAGATTTGTTTATTTTTGTCCACTGACACTATGCTCAAGCCCTCTGCTTGAGAAAATCCTCCAGTCACCTTAATGTACTTAGGGCACCTCCTCCCTCTGTTACACAGAGGTGAACCAGGCATATTCCACCACAGAAAGAAAAAAAAAATAACAATGCATTGGAAATGCGACAGAACTCAAAGGACAGACACTTCTGAATTATTCATGCAATTTATCCTGCTTTCTCTGTTGGAATGTGCTACATAGAGGCTCATTTCTATTTCTAAAGAGTTTAACTTGAAAATGGTGAGCCTGGATAGTTAAACTTATTTTGTGTGAAGCAGGCACCATGCTGTCTTTCTTCTCCTGGAGTTCACTGTTGATCCTGCTATTCCTAATCTGTCTAATTTGGACTGATGGTTCTCAGGGCAGGACAGAGTGGGGGCAGGGTTTGTGATGTACATGGTTAATGTTCAGTAATTGCTATAATAATGACTCTAAATTATAGTCAAAGAAACCTTTTACCTAAAGATATTGAAGTGCTTTGTAATTATCTCATTGAGTGACTGAAAAAAAATCTCAGAAAATTATAATCCCTTCTTAAAGATATGGAAATGGTAACCCAGAAAGGATGAAGGATTAGCAAGGTCATAACAGATTACTGTTGAACCATGTTGGGTTAGAGATGGAAGGACCCTAAAGATGTTAGTGGTACTCACAGAATGTCCTGTGGCCTAGGTTGTAAGCAGCTGCAGACAGAGGGTGGGCTGTAGCTAAGTAGTTAGAAATGTGTGTTTCCTAATCCCCACTTTACCCTGATTTTCTATCTCAATCAGAGCAACTCTTGTTATTTGTGTTTGCTTTTGTATGTACAGTACTAGGGATTGAAGCTGGGTCCTCATGCTTGCTGGGCAAGTGCTCTACAACTTGAGCCACATCCCCTACCCCAGCCAGCTATTTTGTTTCTAAAGAGTGCTTCTGAATAAGGTTTCCTTTTAAGAAAAGATTCCAGCTTTTTGTCTTATTTTATGTGAACACAACTGGTCTAATTCTAATTTTGTGCTCATGGGAACCAAGGCCCCAACATAAGAGAGAACTCCACAGGTTGAACAGTCAGAGCAGAGCTGAAGCTAGAACTAGAAGTGTCAGACTCCTGAGCTACTGTATTTGCTTTTAAATCTGGTTCAAAGTCCCAGCAAAAGCTCTGTAATGGCTTTCCTTTTTGCTGTTCCATGTCTTAGAAATAAAATTGACACTAAATTAAGGAGAATAAAACTCTGAGTCATAATGAGTCCAGAGTTATAACACTGTGAATAGTAGTGTTTCTTAATCCTCATGTTCAAAGAAACATTTTCATCTATTTTTAATTGAAAGATAATAATTGTGTATATTTATGGGATTAACATGATATTTTGATACATGTATACACTGTAGAAAGATTCAATTAGGCTAGTTTGTCCTTCATTCCATATTGGAAATTTCAGTTTTCACAAGTATTAAGTGACTGTGATAAAGCCCGTGACATTGAGGAAGTATCTTAGATTCTCTGAAGGGCTGAGGCTTACCCAATTGGTGGCTTCAAACATTTTGAGGTCCAGAGGGTCTCCCTGAATGGTTTCATCAAGAACAACCAAAGAGTGACAGCTGGCCATGGCAGCACTCAGTGGACCCCATGGCAAAACCTTGCCAGAGGCAAAGCTGTGGACTTCCTGGAAGCTGAAGAAGAAAAGAGAAAGTGCTAGGTCCTAGCCCATCATGCCAAAATTGGAGCTTTATGGAGGTGAACATCTTTAAAGTAATATGCTTTGCTGCATTACATACCCACTCTCCAATCCCCTCAAATGAACAGTGCTTCACTCAGTCATCATCCATAGGGAAGTTCACTGAATACAAAGAAGATCTCTGAGGTACGTTCAAGCTCTATTTTTCCTTCTTTCCCTTACCCCTTCTCAAACTGATTTAATTCCAGAGATATGGTACTCTACTCTTACCCCCAACTACTAGACCACGTCTTTTCCAACCTTGTGGATGAAAGAGACTAGCTCATACTCTAGTTGTATGTAGGATGTATGCATCTCTCTTAACCAGTTATGTGTCTCCCATGAATGTTTCCAACATACTTGATGATGATCCATAGTAGGCAGTTGATAAATGTAGAAGTAAATGAATGAATGAGTTAGTTCCTGGAAATCTGCAAGGCCACCACGGTGAAGAAATGAACACAAAAATTTTTTTGAAAAAGACACCAAATTCCCCCTCTTCAACCCTGGCATCTGGTGTCCATATTGTTGTTATTTTCCCCAGCATTTCTGTGGAATGTGGTCTCATTTAAAATCTATGGAAATACAATTTGAATGTCATGTGCAGGATTCCTTCACTAACTCAGAATAAAGTCTTCGAGTTCAACATCAGACTCATTAGAGGAATGTCCTCTACAACCTTGTCAGTCATCCCCTTCTTAAATGTGTGACACATTAGTTGGTTTGCAAAGCAGCCATTTGGAGCACATCTGAATAGTACAAGTTTCTTCCTACATAAAGGCAAAATCTGCTGTTTGAAGCCGGTCAAAATCTACAGGCTCTTCTTCCTCCACATGTCAGTTTCTTTCATACTTGTGGAAAGTTCTGCCACAACTCCCACCCCTTTATTCTTTCATCCTCCGGGATTCACAGAAACTTCCTCCAATAAGTGTTATCAGACCTCTCACATTCCTAGTATTTTTTCTAATGAAAAGTTTGATGTGTCTTAGTTCATCTATAAATGTGGCTTCCAGTATCAGACCACCAGGTTTAATAATAGGGACACTGCATTTCTTGAAATTCAGTCTTAGGTTGTGCTATTCTTTCGTTTTTGAAAGCATTGCTATCACAATGTTAACTAACAATTCTACCATATTTCTTCCTGGATTTTGCACTCAAGCATCTTTTTTGTCACACTAAGAGTTCAAAACCTTGACTTATTATTGACCTTTTTGATTCTATTTTACCCATTATTATATATTACAAGAATAAGTCATCTTAGTGGTTTACCACGTGCCCCATGAAGTTTAGTAAGCATCCAAAAGGAAAAGATCACAGCAGTATTGTTAAGACAGAAGCCTAAGCTCGCACTGAAAACCAAAGCCCAGATCAGGAAAAGAAAATCTGATTTTTGTGGTGGCACACACCCTTGTCATTAACCTGCAATTCTGAGGATATAATTCTGAGTGCCAGAGGGTTAGGCCAGACTCTGGTGGCCACAACAAACATGTAGAACTCTGTATTGTCCTGTATTATGCATCATCTCTGTATTTATATTTCTATTTGAGTATTTACAATTTAGCAAGCCCAAGCATTCTCTAATGTCTTGAAGTATCTGGCACATTGGTCAGGCCCTTTCTTGAAAAGATAAGATTTATCAGAGATGAATCTGTTTATCCTTTCTCCTTTAACAAAAAGATAGTTAACAACCTATAGATCAGGTGCTGACTTTTACCTAGACTTAAGTCTATTTTCTTTCATTAAATTTGTTAATTTACTTATTTTAAATTGCTTTTTTAGACATTTGAAACCAGCCTGATAGAAGGAAGGAAGGGCAAGAGGGAGGGGGCAGACATAATTAATCAATCAGTAGCCTAAACTTCATGACAATTGCTTTTATTGAAATGTAATAAATCATTTTTAGAAATAGAAACTTTCCAAAGTTTTGTGAGCAATATGATGTCAATTCAATAAGCAGAGCATTTGAAAGACAGAATATATTTAGATTCTTTAAGGAGAACACTTAGTGTACATGTACTAGGTGTGACTGATACAGTGCTCTGACATTAGAGACGGATATAAAAAAGAAAAATTGATGTGAGATGTTTATACACCTGAATAAAAGCATGTGTTTTGTAAAGGTTGAAACAAAAAGCACTAATGAACACAGAGACCAGGTACATATTCAAACCCATCCACTAGAAAAATGAAAAGAATTTTAGAAAGCTTAACACTTGTGAGAGACTTCTTCAGTAGACTAAGTGGTTAGAAAAACCTGGATTATTTTGTAATCTAGGAAATAAATTTCTTTACAAACAGCATTTCACTATGACAGTGTATTAACTGCACATAATTAAAAATCTTTTATGGATAAATATGCATTCTGCCATCTGCATAATGCAAAAGAACCACAATATGCCTTTTATGTATCAAATGCTTTATGATTCAGGTATAAGTGTTAGAAACACTTTTATTTTCAAACAAAACATCAGTATCAAAGGCATCACATTTTGTGGTGTGATCACACTGGAGGTGGTAGTGGGAGAAGCAAAGCAGGCAGAGAAGCAAACTCACATGTGGCCACAAGAGGGCTACAGTCTGGGGACGTGCAAATCTTTGTGGCACCAAGTTAAGAACTACCAAAAAACAACCCTTTCTTGCTAAACAGGGAAGTTTCTAGAAGCCAGAAAGTAGAGTTCCCAGAATCAGAATACCAAGGAAAATGAGTACCCTAGCTATGGCCCCATAGATGTTCCTCTTCCTAGAACCCAGGGTACAAAATCTATGCATTGTGTTCCCTCCTCCTAACACATCAAAGGCTGCCATTTGTGCAAGGAATGTTACCACCAGGAAGGACAGTGTCCTGATGGTGTCTAGATTACTTATACCAGGCTAGCGTTAGGCCTCTGGCAATCATGCTGAAAGCACTTTATGTTTCAGCAAGGATTTGCACATGGTGTCAGAACTTGCCCCTCATCTCCTGGGTCTGTGAGTGACATGGGACTAGGAATGGAGTATGGGCTGATAAGCATATTTTAGGGACACCTGAAAGAATTCAAGAGGAAAAGTTAAATGAATAAACTTTGGCAATCATGATTTACCAATGCCAGAGCCCAAATGTCTCCATTAGTAGTTTTGAGAGTAAAAGTGGAGTTCTGGAAAGAGAAATAGGTGAGTCTAAGGTACTCACCCATTCTTATCACAGGGCAGAACTCCCCAGAGATCCAAGCCATCCTTTGTTAAGGTGCCTGTCTAAACAAAAACAAATACACAGACTACTTGAAAGATCTGGCCACTTCATAGTGAAGGCAAATAGAGAAATACACATCACAAGCATATTATCAAGATGGGTACTTACAGAGGGCCACAATAAAGTGAATATCAGGATTCCTGAGCAGAGGCGTCAGTGAATTCAAACCAATTCTGTAACAAGCTACACTTAATCTCTATGAATTTTTGTGTCCTTTGCAGTAAAAAAGAAGAAAACAGTGTAACAGAATCTCTCCCTTACACACCTCATAGGAGTTTTAAGGAGCTAATGGTAGAGTGGGTGGGAAAGTCCTTGATAAAACTGTAAAAAATTATAAAATGGGTGAGTCCTAGTTTTTATAGTAGAAGTTAAAGGTATGTCATCAGAAATAAGTAATGGAGTAGAATTTTTATCTACAGGGTGCTATTTCTGAGAAGACTCTAAAAAAATGGTTTGCTATTTGATGCCTATTTGGTAAAATTGCTATTTTTCTCAGCGCAATATGCTGGCTAAAAACCTACACTAAGTTTAAATACCATCTGTGTAACTGGGAAAATTACCTACTCCCTTTAAGCATCAAAGCCCTCTTTACAACACAATCATAATGACATAGAGTTGTAAATATTAAACGAAATGATACAAAATGATTAAAACCCAATATAGAGTAAGAGCTAGTAATCATGCTAATGACCTATAGTTACTGCTCATTTTATTATTTAAATTCATGTCACAATGACCTTTTCCACTCCTGTTTCTTTTTTAAAACCCACAAATATGATCTCAAAAATAGGAGGTCTTTGCTTTTATGCTAGTTTTATCACAATATTATATTGAGTGGTAGCAGAAGCCATGTAACCTTCTGTTCTTGGTATGTCTCCACTGACTATAAAATACAGCTCTCATTCCATTCATCTCTCAGCCTTCACTGTACAAATTAATGGGTATAGAGTTTCAGTTTGCAATAAAAACTCCTCAAAAGGTGTAAGAGGGTGAATATGGTGCAAATATTATATACTCATGTACGAAAATGGAAAAATGAGACCTGTTGAAACTACTCTAAGGATGAGGGGAGAAAGGATAAAGAAGAATGATGGAGGGGTGCATTCAACTATGATATATTATAAGCACTTTTGTAAATGTTATAATGTACCCCCAGTATAACAATAATATGATAACAATGATTTAAAATAAAAATATTTTAAATCTTCAAGACAGATGATGGTGGTGGTTGCAGAACAGTGAGGATGTACTTAATAGCAGTGAACTGGACACTTAAAATGGTCGAAGTAGTAATTTTATCTTATGTATATTCTACCCCACTTTAAAGTTAATTAAGAAGGACAGAAGCAATGAAGGCAACAAGACCTTCAATGGCTTCCTATTACTCCTATTACTTAAGGCCCACAGATACCCCCTTTCAGCACTGGTGTCCTGCCCTAGTCAGATCCACAGTCTCTTGTTCTCCTGCCACCATGCCGTGGCCTGTACTCACTTGCCTATGATGAACTGTATTTTCATCTTACCCTTTTACAGCCCACCTTCACCCTAGATTGCATGTGTAAAGACTAAATGAATACACTTACACTCAAGAAAAGATGGAGTAAAAAATCTGATTGTGAATAACTGGTAGCAACCAACAGTAATTTTAAGTAATAAACTACCAATGGAAACATACAGTAAGGGTTTGCTATGCAGATTTACTATAATATAATAAGTCTCATTAAGTAAGACACAGTTTAATAAACTCTTGCTTTTTTATTCATTCAGTAACTCAATAAGTATTTATTGAGCATTTGGCTATATGCCATGTAATATTCTTCAAAGTTTGTTTGAGGAGTGAGGGTTTTGACTGCAAGGGGCAGGTGCTATTTTAATTTATTGTTTCAAAGCTGGAAGGATCCTAGAAGATTCATCTATTCTGTACCTACTCCTTCTTCTATAATGCCCAGAATCTAAAAGCTCAAGAAATGTATCTTTCCTAGAGCACCTACCCAATCCGAGATGAAAGGAAGTCAGGTACCCACACCCTATGCTTTCTACCTCAAAAAGGAAAAAAGCACCTATCCATGGTGACGACAATAAATGGCCATGAGAGCGAGGATGAAACACATACCTTGTCAAAGCAGACAAGGTTTACTTGTCCACATACATTGATCCTCTGGGGGCTAATGCAGAAGATGCCTCTCTTCTTCAGCCTCCTCTGGGCATAGATAATGCCCGTGGTCAGGGCAGCAGGCAGGGCAGGAGGAACTGCAATGGTGATAACATCAAGGGCTTTCTTTACCACCTCCTCTGGAGCTTCCTGGAAGACAGTCATTCTTTACTTACTACAAGTAAATCAGCAATAAACACTTTTGTACATATGACTTTTTTTCCTTCTTTTTGTTTGTTTATTTCTAAAGGCTGAATTCTGAGTAACAGTGTCAGTGGTCAAATGGTTTGGTCAGGTTTAAGGCTCCCAATGTCTCTTTCCAAAGTGCAGTGAAGAAGCTTATATAATTCATCCTTGCTACCAGTAAAGTACCAATTTACTGTGACTTCATCAACACTGGGTATCTGATCTGATTACCTACAAAATACTACTTTATTGGCATAAATATACTTGAGATTGAAATTTTTTTAATGGTGTAAAGCGTAAGGAAACATGCAAGAGCAGCAGCATGCTGGTATTTCAATAAACATTGTTTTGTCCCACTATCCACCAAGATCTTATTGTTGGTACAAAACTTAGGCCTGTCAGTAGGTTTCAGTATTTAGCTTTGTTTTTCAGGTTTGTAAACCATGTCTTTGAATAAGGCCAACATAATACATATAGAGAAGAATGAGCATATGTGTGTGCACGTATGTGTGTAACAAAAGAGCAAAGACAGCTTACCCCACTGAGTACATAGACACACAGTGTGTAGATCATGCCAATGGTGGCTATCCCTACAAGGCACAGAAGGAACCTGATGGCATCTCTGTAGAGCTTAAAATTCATTGGCTTGGGGTAAAGAATGGATCTCACAAGGTCCCCCTTTGCAGTGTTGAATCCTGAAATGGAAAACACACATCCCACTTTTTCATCCTGCTGCTAGCCCTCTTCTAAACCTCAACATTGCCTTTATTTTTCCCTAGAGCTTTCAAACAGTGTCTAAACCCAAAGACAATGCAATGATAATTGGGAAAATTCATTAATTGCTAACATAGAATTAAGTTACCTATCTCAGAACCTGGTACTCTGTCTGACCTTCCTTCCCTATCCTTCCTATTCCAATGCACTCCAGAGACAGGAGACTGCTTTGCTACAGGGTCAGCATAGTTTTGCCAAATATAACTCAATTATGAGGAAAAGACTCATGACCGTGCGCTTGCATATTCACACCCAAACTTGAATTAAAATTAAGTGGCCTTGTAAATTCTGATGGAATCACTTTTCTCATAGCTCCCAGTGTTTTCAGTTTCTAACCCTCTGTAGAAATAACCTGGAATTTAGGTTAGAAGATCTAAATTTCAGGTTCAGTTTTATCAGTTATTGTCTGTGTTATTTTTAGAAAGTTCACTTGAATTATACAGCCTTGAAATGTTCATGCACAAAATAGGGGCAGAAAGCATCTTTACTCTACTGGTTTGAGTGTGGAAATAGTTTATTAACTGCAAAGCACATAAGGATTTTTGTCTCGGTATTATTATTTTTACTAAAATTTATATGCCATAGTTCAACTGGCAAATCAGCAATTAAATTATGTCGATTTGCATGTATTTGCTTTGTTATCTAAAGACTTTGTTCTCTAAAGAATGATTCTTCCCTAATAAATTTAAGGCATTAGACAAACTGAGCAGGAATATTTCACTAAAAGCAACAGCACAAAGGAGGAGATTGCTAACCAGTCTGTAGCACCACTGCTCTCACAGGCCCAGAACCAGCTCCCTTGGCCTGGATGACCTCCGTTCCACAGAAGAGGACATGCCGTTTGTAATCTGCTTCGCTCTGCGTCTTCCAGGGCACACAGCTATCCATGAGGGGTAATGGAGTTTTAGTGACAGGAATACTTTCTCCTACAGAAAACAAATGTCTCATTTGTGAGGTGCAATGTTTTCACTCGTGGATATCCTGCCCTTACTCACTCATCATACCACAGACATTCCCTTGGAGCCTGCAACATGGCAAAGACAACCCAGGTATTGAAAATACAAGGTAAACATAGTTCGTATTGTTGAGAGGTCTACAGTTTAGAAAGAGACAGACGTGAACAAATAAGTCAATGTCACATGATAAATACTGTGAGTACTGTGAATCAAACATGGATGTTAAATAGTCTGGAAACAATCATTTAGGGAACAGAAAGCTGTAAGGTCTAGAATGTGCAGTGTGAGGAATAAGGGCCAGGAGAACTATGCAGGAGCTAAGACATGAAGAGCCCTAAGTGTACACGTTTAACGGCCGAAACATTTTTCTGTGTGCATGATGACTGCTTTAACCAGTAAGATAATATATCTATGTGAGAGAGTTCTCTGGCCACAGTACAGGAGATTAGTCAAAAGTCTGTGAGTTGGAGGATGGACATCCTCCAGGGATTCATGATCACAAGAGTCCTGGCTATAGGGAAGGAGGTCTGAACTATGGCAAGCTGGCCGTGGAGTAGAAGGAAGTACTGTATTCAAAAATAAGGAATTAGGAAGCTACAAAACTGGAGGAAATTTTTATATTGACAAAGTCATTAGGACAGGAATTTAAAACAACTTCCTGGTTCCTGATTTGGAGATTAAGCAGAGGGTGGCATTATTTTTCAAAGTGTGGATTATGGGGGAGAGGAAGAATCATTTTGGGAGCACCAAAAACTAAGGAAACAGTGGAAGAGAAGCAGTAAGAAACTGAACAGGGGTGGTTGTTAGTAAAACAGACAACATGGAGAGAGAGCATGGTCTTAGAAACTTAAGGAAAAGAGAGTTTTTAGGAGAGACAAGTCAGAGACAAATTTCAAAGAACTAAAGTTCTCTGCAATCTTTAAAGGTAAAATGGGAGAGTGCAATAACCCTTTGTTCAAGAAGGAAATGATAAGCACGCAAAGTTATAATTGTATTGAATTTGGCAAATAGAAAGCATTTTGAGCTCTGAGACTCATTCAGAAACTGAAACAGGGGTGGTTGTTAGTAAACAGACAAACTGGAGAGAGAGCATGGTCTTAGAAACTTAAGGAAAAGAGAGTTTTTAGGAGAGACAAGTCAGAGACAAATTTCAAAAGAACTAAAGTTCTCTGCAATCTTTAAAAGGTAAAGGGAGAGTGCAATAACCCTTTGTTCAAGAAGGAAATGATAAGCACGCAAAAAGTTATAATTGTATTGAATTTGGCAAATAGAAAGCATTTTGAGCTCTGAGACTCATTCACAACAGGTGTAAGCAAGATTTGCGAAGCAAGGAAGGTCACGCGGCAGCTCCACGCTGTACAAGCCAGTGACCGTCGTTCAGGTGGAGGAGGAGTCCAGCCCACCGTAGTGTGAGGCTGGGGCAGCGCGCAGAGGCTGGGCGCCGTGGGGATGGAGCATACCTGTCAGCATGCCTTCGTCTACCACACAGCTGCCATCAATCAGAATGGCGTCACATGGCATTTGCACTTTGTTCCCTGTCAAAATTAACAAATCTCCAGGCACCAGGAAGCGTGATTCCAGCTCTTGGACTCCTGCTGAAAGTGTGAGCAGACAGAGCTGAGTTAAGTTATGTTTCCACAAAAATACAGCCCAACATTTAAGTTAGAAATCAATGGAAAAGCTTGTAAAAAAAAAAAATAATAAGCTGTTCTTCAACATCGATTCAAAATCTGAAAAAAGGAAAACAATCACAAACTACATAGTATAAAAACTTGTGTGTGAAAAAAATAAGTAAAATAATGACAAATTTAGGAAACATACTTGAAACAGACAAAAGATTAATATTTCCTAAATAGAAAAATGTTCTTTACAAAGAGACGTGTAGCAATTAACTGTGTAACAAATTGCTAGTTATTAACAGTTCATGCACACACAAGTGGTGTGTTAAATTCCTAAAAAGCTGCTCACTTTTTATTCATAAGAAAAATGAGCACTTCTTCCTTCCTTTTTTTCCCTTCCTTCCTGATTGCCTTTCTTCTTCCTCATTCAGTTCAAAGTTATTATGGACAAGACAGGCATTTGCACAGGTGGAATAGGATAGAAGGCTGCTATGGGGTATTGGAGCTAGGTAGAAGAGAAGGACCCCATGGTGGCAGTTGTCTGCTGTGGGAATGTAGGGGTCCAAGCAGGTTGATAAAGGCCTCTATATGGAAGTGAGGTGGTGGGAGTGTAAGCATCAGAAGTGATGGAAGATTGGTTATATCCAGGCAATACTGATACAGTAAGTAGACCTACTGAAATTAATGAGAGCCAGGTTTCTCATGGAAGAAGGGAAGTTACAAGTATGGAGAGAAGTAAAACAAAAATGAACTCTGGGCTTAGAATTGGAAATATCTGTGTAATAGACACAGAGACAGAGAAAAAACACAAATGTAAATGTGCAAGGATGTAAGAATATATACAAGTATAATACGCTTGCTGGTCTATCCGTCTATACATACATTCTAATTCCTTCCCCAAGAGAGGCTAACTGCAGTAAAGCCCAGTAATAACGAGCATGACTTCATGTCCAATTTTTGGTTTCTAAATTCCATTTTCCCCCTTAAAAAAGAAAGAATGAAGATTCCTTAGAGAAATGTCTGATAGCAAGTGTGTGTCAAGGAAAGTATGATATAAGCTAACATCTTATTGTGCTATTAAGTAAGAAAATGCTCAAATAACAATGGAAACATACCAAGAAAATATCAAAGCCAATTTAAAGAGTCCTTGCTGCCTAATCTGTGACAGTTTTAAAGTAAGTGATGACAATGGAATTTTATGCAGCCATGAAGAAGAACGAAATGTTATCATTCGCTGGTAAATGGATGGAATTGGAGAACATCATTCTGAGTGAGGTTAGCCTGGCTCAAAAGACCAAAAATCGTATGTTCTCCCTCATATGTGGACATTAGATCAAGGGCAAACACAACAAGGGGATTGGACTATGAGCACATGATAAAAGCGAGAGCACACAAGGGAGGGGTGAGGATAGGTAAGACACCTAAAAAACTAGCTAGCATTTGTTGCCCTTAACGCAGAGAAACTAAAGCAGATACCTTAAAGCAACTGAGGCCAATAGGAAAAGGGGACCAGGAACTAGAGAAAAGGTGAGATCAAAAAGAATTAACCTAGAAGGTAACACCCACACACAGGAAATCAATGTGAGTCAATGCCCTGTATAGCTATCCTTATCTCAACCAGCAAAACCCCTTGTTCCTTCCTATTATTGCTTATACTCTCTCTACAACAAAATTAGAGATAAGGGCAAAATAGTTTCTGCTGGGTATTGAGGGGGGGAGCGGGAGGGGGTGGAGTGGGTGGTAAGGGAGGGGGTGGGGGCAGGGGGGAGAAATGAACCAATCCTTGTATGCACATATGAATAATAAAAGAAAAATGAAAAAAAAAAAAAAAAAAAAAAAAAAAAAAAAAAAAAAAAAAAAAAAAAAATAAAGTAAGTGATGATAATAAACAACTATAGCCATTAAACAAATGGAAATTCATAAACCCATAATGATGTGTAAGTGGATAAACAATGAGAAGAAACAGTAGCTTTTCCTTGCCACAGAATGACAATTAAATAATTGAGAAGGAAAGATAAAATTAGAAAGTCATTATTCAGCAAGAATCAAAGTAATAGGTGAAAATTTGATGAGGAGAGTGTACTTGTATAGTCTCCAAGTATCTCTCCACAAAATAACTATTAATTACAAAGAAGAAAAGAGCAAATTTACAAAGGAGAAACCTGGCAGACACCATTTAATTAAATAATTCAAGTTAACGTCACCAGTAATAGAATCAATTTAAACTATGAACCACCTGAGAGGAAGCAGTAAACACAGTACCTTGTCTGTGATTTGCCAGTCTTTAAGTATAAAGAAACATCAAACAAATCCAAATTGAAAGATGCTCTACAAAATAACTAGAACTGGAAGAAACAAGGTTATGGTAGTCAAGAAAAAATTGAAAAATACTAGAGAGATATGGTAAACAGCCATGTTGTGTGAAATTGGATTCCCTACTACAAACATTATTGAGACAGTTGGCAAAGGATGAATAGGTCTGACCACTAATAGTATGTGTCAATATTAGCTTCCTGGTTGCACTACAATTTAAGTAAAGAGAATGCCCTTGTCTTTAAAAAGTATCCACTAATCCCAGGATGGTGGTATATACTTTGATTCCAGTTACCAGGAGCAAGAGACAGAAAAATCAAAGTTTGAGGCCAACCCAAGTAAAATTAGCAGGAGACCCTATCTCAAAACAAACTGAAAAGCGAAAAGGACAAGGGACATGACTCAAGAGATAGAGTGCTTTCCTAGCTAACTCAGGGCCCTGAGTTCAATTCCCAGAACAAAAAGAAAAAAAAGACAAGTACCCACTAAAGTGTGTGATGATCATGAAGCCCCGTGTTAGCCATTTATTCTTTAGTAGTTTTGTAAAAAAGTTATTTGAACTGTTCTTTTCTGAACACATTATTTCCTTAAAAAGAGAGAGAAATAAACATGAGGTTACACTGCTTAACACTTTGATTAGAGAAATCTAGACATTTTTCAACATATTCTGTTGGCAAGGCTATGAGGAAACAGGCATTCATACATTTGTAGTATAAATGCAAACTGGTATTATCTGCATAAGGAGAAATTTGGTGATATTTATCTAACAAAAGTACATATGTATTTATTCTTTAACCTAGCAATTTTGCTTCTGACAAAAAGATGAAAAAAAATACCCACAAGGAATTTGTTGCGGCATTACTTATAATAGTAAAACACTGAGGAAAAATTCTCCAACAGAAGACCAGTTGAGTAAACAAGGCTTCCTCACATGAGAGTACTACTCAGCTGAAATCATGAGTGAAGAACGTGTATATACACTGCCATTAAAAGATGCCTGGAAACACAGTTAAGTATTTAAAGAATATACTACAGGAAATATAGTTTGATATACCCCTGTTTATCTAAAAAAAAGTATAAATGTGTATTCTACTTTGTACGTATAACATATAGTATTATTTTACATATAGCTTGTTTATTTTGTGTATACACTTAACAGAAGTGATTATTATAGAAAGAGTGAGGACCCAGGTAAGAGGAAAAAGAGAGAAGTTAAAGGACCCTGAATATCTTTAGTCTTAATGAGTTTGAATTTCAAACCATGAAGACATTTTCCAGAATATTTATGCAAAATAAAACAAAAATAAACTTGAGAAGCTAAAAGTGAAGAACAAAATGAGTGAAGTAAATGAACCTATCAAATTGTTGGCATAACCATCTAGAGAACTATTTTGAGTGACTTTAAAATTATACATTTTTTAAAAAATGTATAATTTGTACATTTCCATTGCGTTATCACAAATAATGGGGAAAAGAACTCTAGAAACATCCTAAATTTTTTCTAGGAATTGTATTGATACTGCATGTGTTAGTTTGTTATTCTTAGACTACTGTTCTTGATGGTATAAAGCAAATGAACTTTTCCTATCATTGAGAGTTGGAACTTTTAACATAAAGGAGAGACACAAGTACAATCAACAAAGTTAAACTAAAAATCCAAACTGCTAGTCAGTGCCAGTGGCTCGTGCCTGTAATTCTAGCTACTTGGGAGGCTGAGATTGGGAGGATCGTGATTTGAGATCAGCTTGGGCAAATAATTCCCTAGACCCCATCTCCAAAAGCAACCAGAGCAAAAATAAACTGGAGAGTTGGCTCAAATGGTAGAATACCTGCTTTGCAAGTGCAAAGCCCTGAGTTCAAATTCCAGTCCCACCAAAAAAAATCCATTGCTCTAAACTTGAGTTGGAAACATCAATAGAAATTCATGATGTATTTTATATTAAAAGTTATTTACTAACTATGCTTTTGAAAAGTTTTACGATGACTCACATCTTAAAAATAAACACTCTTAATATTCTGACAGAGGTGTCTAAGTACCATATCTAAAGACTCTGAAAAAATGTATGTGTCTGTGTTTGGGAAACAAATTGTCCAAATGAGTTTAATAAAACTCTCCCACTGACTATTGGGGCCATGTCAAAAGAACTCAAGAGCCAACCAGAATAGGGTCTCAATGGCCCAAAGATTGGTGGAGGCTCCGCCCTTAGTATACAACAGACTACAATCAGCACATGCTTACGAGAACTGCTAGAGAATGAAAAAATAAACATCTGCACTTAAAATTCTACAATAGCATCAAAACTATCAAACACTTAAGAATAAACCTGAAACTATGTATAACACTCATACACTAAAAACTGCAAAACACTGCTGAGGAAAATAAAAGCAAATAAGATAAATGGAGAGATATGTCATATCCAAAAGGCAAAAGATCTAAATTGTTAATGTTATCTTTCCACACCTTGATCTATAGATTCAACACAATCCTACTCAAAATCTTGTCACTTTTTTAAAGAAATTAACAAGTTTATTCTAAAGTTCATATGAAAATGAAAAGGGTCTAATATGGCAAAATTAAAAAAAAGAACAAAACTGGAAGACGACTATTATACTATTTCAAAATATCTTATAAAGTGACCGTGGCATTGGCATAAGATGAGCAGACAGTCCAATCAAGTAAGATAGGGAGTCCAGAAGTAGATCCATCTGTGTATGGACAACCGATTTTTGACAAAGGTGCAAAGACAATTCACTAGAAAAAATACAATCTTTACACCGCTTTGCAGAAAATGAACTTCAATCCAAAACAGAAAAAGAACATTCAAAATACAATGTAGGCCTAAAACTATTAAACTTTAGAAGATAATACAGAAAATCTTGTTGGAGTTGCATTAGGCAAAGATGTCTTAGATATGATATTAAAGATATGATCCACAGAAGAAAGAATTGATAAACTAAACTTTAAGAAAATAAAAATGTCTGCCCTTTGAAAGATGCTATGAAGAGAACGAAAAGATAAGTCATAGACTGAAATATTTGCACATAATATGTCTGATAAGGAACTGTTTAATATGGAAACAATCTAATAAAAGATTTGAACAGATATTTCAGAAAAGAGATACACATGTGTCAAATACACTTGGAAAGATGCCCAAGACCATTAGTCATTAGGGAAACTAAAACAATTACATACTTCCATACATGAAAGTACTTTCAATTGACAAGACTGTTCATACCAAGTGTTGGCAAGACTGTGGAACAACTGGAACTCTCACACACTGCTGGTGATAATATAAATGGCACAACCACTTTGAAAAACAGATGGCAGCCTCATAAAATGTTAGACATCTATCTATCACATGACCTAGTCACTCTACAGGTAGGCACTTTCTCACAAAAAGGAAAGTCCATTTCCATTTTTTAAAAAAGCTGTACTTAAATGTTCATATCAGCATTATTTGTAAAAACAAAAAATTAGAAACAACCCAAATATCCAACAGTAAGTGAGTAGCTGAACAAACTTGAGTATCCCATCTAATGGGATACTCTCAGGAATAAAAAGGAATGTATTATTGTTGCTCTTAACCAAATGGTTAATCTCAAAATAAGTTTGAGATTCATATCTCAAAATATGAGCTTTGGTCTCACCCCAAAATATATTATAAAAATATATCCTGTACAATACCATTTATATAAAATTCTAAGCATGGAAGTTAATCTATAGTGACAAGAAGCAGATAAATGACTGCCTGAGAATGGGGGAAGCTATGATGGATTGCTATTATCTTGATGGTGTTGATGGTTTTATGAGTATATACAAATCTCAAAACTATCAAATGCACTCTATAAATATGTTTAGTTAATCATATGTTAATTCAACCTAATAAAGTAGATTTCTCTCTTAAGGGGAAAAGAACTCAAATTCATCCTCCCTATAATGAAATGTTTAAGAAAGTTGCATATGAAGATGGGAGTAGTAGGAACAGTCAAGAATATAAATTGAAGTCCTTTTCTGATTCCATATGGATAACACATAGATCTAAAATAATGAAACTTACCTCTTCTTCCACATACAGAGACTGTAATGCTATTGTGTGATTCAACTAGATGGTGAAGTTTTACAGATTGCTGAAAAGGGAAAACAGAAAAGATTTATCTGTTGAGTATAGGTTCCAAGTATTACTCAGTAAGGTAAGTATTACTCAGTAAGCCTTCTGTAAAGGTGGAGCACTGTTTTATTGAAAGCTAAGTATACTGGCCAGAAATTAAGGACAGAGCACCCCAATACCCCACCAAAAAGAACCTTTGCCCAGCAGTAAGTATTCTTTGGCAGAAGGGAATTTCCCAGCCTATGTATTCACTCAAAAGAGTTTTTGAAAGCCACAAATTTGTGTATGGTTCTTTAAGTAAGTAGATAGTATCAAGAACATTTATCATTTTATGTGTGTTTATACCTAAATAACTCAAACTGAGAGACAATATTGGCACATCGTATGTCTGATGAAGAACTTTAAGTTTCAATAAGAAAACATCTAATGAAAGATTTGAACAGACATTTCAAAAAGAGATAGAACATGTGTCAAATAAGCACTTGAAAAGTGTGGACACCACATGGGAGGTAAGTGCCAGGAAAGCGATAATGGTAACCTGAACCACAGTTGTGGGAGGATGGGAAAAAGTGAGTGATACTCCAGAGTTATTTAGAAGGGAAAACTGGTAGGACATACAGCATGATTGAGAGAGAGGAAAAAGAAAGTTTCTAGAATGACAACAAGATTTCCAGCATATACAACTGAATGGTCAGTAGTATCTCACCAAATCAGGTAAGTCTAAACAGCAGATTAGGGAAGGAGTTCTTCAGTTCTGTGCAGAATGTGCTGAATTTAAGGTCATTTTTGGATATTAAAGTGGGAATATCAAATAGGTTGTTGAATCTGTGGGTCTGGAACTCAAAAGCTGTATTTGGAGTTATATGTATAAATTTGAAAGACATTAGCATATGCCTTTTAGAAGTCACTGTATAGGCAGCTATAAAAATAATTAAGGATCTCTCACGTACTTACATGAAATACTTCAAGACATACTAAAATGTTTCTTTAATGGCTAGGAATGATGCAACTGTGCTACCATTTGCATAGAGAAGAAAAATAAAATGCACACATTTATTTGTATTTGCTTTATATGACTACACTTTTAAAGAATGTATGAAAAATTAATAAAAGTAGTTGGCCAAGTGGAAGGAGAGAGGAAGATGGAGCCTTTAAACCATAGCATTTTTATGTTGTTTTGACTTTGAGACATCCATTAAAAAAAAAAGTTCAGAACAGAAAAGGGCAGGTGGAAAGGATGGAGAGCATGTAATTGAGGCCAAAGGAAGAGAGTTTTTCAGAAAGAATGGAGCAGTATACTGCTTAATGCAGCCGAGAAGTTCAGTGAAATATGCACTTAAAAAAGTAAGTGAAACAGCACCAACCCAATAAAAAAGTAATGAAAGACACTAATATTTCAAGTAAAAGAAATGCAAATAGCTGAAAACAAAAAAGGTCACCTCATAATGGAAACATGCTATTGAATTTGTGGAATTCTATTTCATTTATATTGGCAACAATAAGGTTAAAAGTCATACACTGCCCAGAAGAGTGTAAAGTGACACTACTTTTTAAAGAGGCGTTTGGCAACATTAAATGGTGTACCTAACTTGTGACTAAGTAATTCCAATTACAGAAATTTTGCATCTCCTTATCAATATGGATACAAATAACAAACATTATATTTACCAGCTATGAGCATGTTTATGTTAATATATTTATAATTCATACTAAGTAAACTTATCTAAATATATACATACAGATGTCAATGTGTGAAAAGTACATATGCCAAGATTCTCACTGCATTTAGTAGCAAAAGACTAGAAACAACTTAAAATATCTATCAATATTAGATTGCCTATAAAAACTGTGCTAGATCTAGAGAAAATATATTTGTGCACACATGGAAAGATATCCAAGGTATATTAGGCAGTCAATCTTTACCTGAACTGCCTGCTTCTCCCTTCAGATGTACTGTCTCAATTTAGGGCAGCCAGTCCTTACCCAAACTGCCCACCTCACCCCTCGAGGTGTAATTCCTGTTCCCTAATAAATTGCTCTTTGCTATCAAAAAAAAAAGATATATTAGGTAAAAAATGCAAGTACAGCATAGTGCATACAGTATACTTCCATTCTATAAAACAAATTAATGCATATGTGTTTAATATTGCTAAAGGTATATAGAATATTTGGTCCCCACTGATGCCTCTTAAAAGAAGTCTTGGAAGTTCCCCACAGTGGGAGAGATCCTTAAGGTTCATTCACATTGTTTTGTGCTGCTTGAGATTTATTTTTGCCACGTCCATATACTGCCACTTGTATTAAAGGAAAAAGGTAACTAATTTAAAATTTTTAATTTAAATACTGTATATGGGCTTTAGGATTATAGTGGCAACTGTAACAAGAGTTGTTTAAATGGAGTCATGGGAGAGGAAACTAGGTCAGCATGAGTGAAAACTGAGAGGAGGAGAGTGCACATAAAGACACAAGATGTTTTACAAACTGAAGAAAAAAGATTCAGTAGGAGCCAAAGGTAGAAACATGGTCAAAAGAAAGGAGTTCTTTGTTTGAGCTTTGTTTTGAAATTGAAAGAAGCCTGAGAATAGTCAGCGTTGATGGGAAGGCTCTGGAGAGAGAGAGAAAAGGAGTTACTCATGGACTACATTGGCAACCCCAAGAAGTGGAAGGGGATGAAGTCTCAGGCAAGGCAGAAAGCACTTTGATGAGAGAGGAGGGAGGGAAGGCCTGAGAGGAGTCATTTGGCAATGGGGGAGTGGAGAGTTGAGCAAATTCCTGTCTTAGACTTACATTATTTTTATGAAATGAGTGGTGAAATTATCTGCTGAATTAGAGGAAAAGTGCAATGTGGGAATATGGACATCTCAGAAACCTGAAGAGTATAATGGTTTGAAACCCTGAATGAGAAAGTTCCTTGATCAGAGATGTGTAGAAGTCTTTCCCAGATAAGTTTAGCATGCATGGATATATCATGTGCTCAACCAGTCTGTTGTATGTGATTTTCTTCCATCAGCACATACATCCCCAATGTAGGCAGAAAGAAATCCAAGAGTTGAACTGGAACATAGACAAATAAGAACCATCCAACCATAAAGGGCAAAGGAGGTCACATTAAAAAGATTCCTCCACCTTCTGGAAGACTCAGATTGGGGTGTGAGGGAAGGGGAAGGACTTGAACACTGGTGATTAGGCTACCTATTACAACCTTAGTCTCATTTAACATAGACTAGGCAATAACTATTGCATGATACACATTTCTAAGAAAATGTTACTACTGCTCCCTTTCTGCTACCACGGAATTAATGGGAAAACTCACCTCCCTGAGATCATACACTGTCAAGGCTATGGAAATGACAGACATGATTATGATGGCAAAAGCGTATTCCTTGTAGTCTTCACTGAACCACAAACAGACACTGAAGAGCTGGAATATGTAAAATGGATTTAGAACCTGTTGGCAGACATAAAAGCAGGAAGACAAGAGTATAATTTGGCTTCACACAGAGTTGTTCATTGACTTGTTTTCACAATTAGCACCATGACTTCAATTGTCCCACACAATATGCTATTCTTGTTATTATTGTATTTAATCAGCAGTTTCCATGTACCAGATGCTGAAGTAAGCACTTTTACCTGAATTTGCTAATTTCATTCCCAAATTGTCCATTAACCAGAAGTTACCACTTATCTCCATTGTGAAGATAAAGAAATTGAGCCTTAAATCTTGAGAAACTTGCCCAAGGGTCACATGGTTGGGACTGTCACAGAGTGAAGACTTAAACCCTTCAAGCACTCTGACCCTAGTGCCCTCCTAATCTCGGCTGTACTTTATAACTTACAAAGCAGTGCCTTGCATGTCTTCATGCTGACCATTACAAAAGCCATTGTTAAGTAGATATTATCATTTCCAATTTACATTTCCTGGCCTTCAGAAACCTGAAATATTAGTTCGGATGTGCAAAACTAAAATGCTTTCTGGTTTATAGCTCCTCTCTGTGACAAGGCAGCTGCTATATTCAAAGCCTTTAAGGAACTTTGCATTAGTGGATGCGTTGAAGACTACATTGCTCCAAAAGTGGAGAATTGAGCTGAAAGTGACTCAAAGAGGATAGAAGTTAACTCCAGTGGTTCTTATGCTGCTTTGTCTAAAACATCTTGTACTCTTAGCTCAAATTCCCTCTACTGTTTATCATCTGTCTAAAATAGGAATGGTAACCCCAGCCTCTGGTTAGGGAGGAAGCACACAGAACATTTTACTACCAGGTTGTTTTGCTTTCTTTCACTCTGGAAAGCTTACAGAGATATTGAGAAAGTACTTTGAATTTACTAAGCTCTTTTTAAAAGGCTAGGAAGAATGGAAGAGGAGCACAGGAGTGCCCAGAGCACTGCTATCTGGTAATGGTTTTTAAAATGACTAGCCCAGTGATAGGGTCTAAGAGGAAAAATTTAACTTAGTAAATGTTGGTCAAATCCTTCTTCCCCTATCCCACAATTGAGATCAGTAGAATTTAATAAGACTGAGTACATAGATTTTTCTTCCTGTAGTTTTGAATGTCAAGGAAATTGTACATGTTGCCTAAAAAAAAGAATTGGATTCTCTAAAAAAATTATTTCTTAATTTCATAAAGTTGAAATGGGCTAAGTAATAAGTAGTATTTTAAAAGGAAAAAGAAACATTTCATTCTTCCAAGTTATCAAATATTAAGTAGAAAAATGAGTGTCTCACCCTATATTATATTAGGTACTTTTGCAAAAAAGGAACATACAGAAAACAAGTAAATGAGAGATATCAAGAAAATATGCCTGGCATTCTTTTAAAATATCTCCCAGTTACAGTTACTTGTGAACAAGTAGTACCTTCTGACTGCTTGACTAAAACCAAACTTCTTTATTTTTTTCCTATCCAACCCTAAGAGAAAATACTGGTGAAATTACCTCCTTGATGAGCAGTTTCCAAATAGGTGTGACTTCAACATCAATAGTATTAGGCCCACATATTAGCCTCCTACGGGGAGAGATCACAGATCACTTAGTCACTAATAATGATAAAAAACTCATTTCCTGCCCATTCAACAAAAGGTTCATTCCATGCTCCCTTCCTCACTTCTGGAGTCAACATAAACCTGCTTTGTGATATAACTCTCCATCACTCTCAAAATAACTAGGGAATGGGAGGGTTCCCAGGCACAAAACAAACATAAACACGTTGATTCTACTGAACTAGACTTCCCCACAATAACATGAGTATTTAATATTACCCATTGTCTCATTCAAGTAGTTTCAGGATTGCTTTGTTCTCAACTTTCTCTCTCCCCATCTCTGGTTCATAAAGATGGAAAGTTTTAGTGCCAAGGAAAAACTGTACCTATTTTCTAACCCCTAATCAGAAGTTCCAGGAAGCTGCATGATTTGTTTTAATGTGTGTGAAAGGTCCTGGGCTCTCCAAAACAGCTCAACACACAGAATTATACATCCATCTAATTGAAGACCCAGGGATATATTTCTTTGATCATGTAAAGAACTGGCACTCTATGAGTTATTTTGCTGTTGCAAACACTACCCACTCTCTCTGTGCCTTCCTCATAGACACTTGGATCAAAAAGCTTTGCTGAATGCATTAGACCAGTGTTTCTCAATTTTTAATGTAAACACAGATCATTTGGGTAATCTCATTAAAATGAAGATTCTGATTGGATCGAGGTGAGGTGTGTTCTGAGATTCTGTGCTTCTAACAAGCTCCCAGGTAATTCTGATGTTGCAAGGCTCTGAGTCTCTTTAAAGTATAGAAATGAGGGACTGGGAAATGTAAGAATCATAGAAACTTAGGATCAGCAAAGCCCTATATAGTGTCCTTCTCTCCATTTTTTATGATTGGGATACTAAGGCCCAAAGAAAAGAAAGCATTTGCTCAAAGTCACACAGACTGTTTACATCCCAGTGCCCTCCTTAAATCTCCCTTCTCTGCTAGTAATTGATTTGGAATTGTGGAGCTCCACATCTTGCATGGCATTATTTTGATACTCTGTAATTGCTATTTAACTGGATTATCATGATATTATATGTATTTCCTGATTATAATCAATACAGGCTCAACCTCATTATTATCATAACCCTGAGAAGCATTGCATAGAGTAGAAAGAGTACTAAACCTACAGTCAGAAGTGTGGGACTCAGTTCCTCTATATCTTCCCCTCTGTGTGACTTTGTTCAGGCCATTAAACCTTTCTGAACCTCAGATTCCACTTCTTTTATGCTGGGATGGTAATGATGCCTGTTCTACCTCTCCCACAAGGTTGCTCTGAAGACGTACATGTGAAATCACATATGTGAAGGCATTTATTTATTTATTTATTTATTTATATTATTATTCATATGTGCATACAAGGCTTGGATCATTTCTCCCCCCTGCCCCCACCCCCTCCCTTACCACCCACTCCGCCCCCTCCCTCTCCCCCCACCCCCTCAATACCCAGCAGAAACTATTTTGCCCTTATTTCTAATTTTGTTGTAGAGAGAGTATAAGCAATAATAGGAAGGAACAAGGGTTTAATAATAGTAAATAGACCATTGCAACATTTTCTTATATTAATCAATTAAGATAACTATTTACTGGGTTCTTTATTTAACTAACCAATAACAGTCCTTTTGAGCTAATACAGACAGTAGTATGCATGGTACCTAATCTCTTGTTCTTCTGTTGTTAGCCCTGATCCAAATTTTAGATGAATCTTTGCAGAACTGAGCCAGTCTTCCAAAGAGCTAAAATAATAATGAGAAAGATGCAATTAGCAATAATATTTTTGAGATATTATTCCTCTTTGCATATATCTTATTAAGCAACATACCCAATTTTTTGAAATTGTCCTTCTAAGTTATTCCAAACATATCTTATTTTCTGCACTTTTATACATCTCACCTGCAAAAAAGAAAAAAAACAGTACTAAGAAAGTTTCTAGTTTGAGGATCAGAGACAGTGAGCATCAGAGAGGATCAGTAACTTATTGACTAAAAGAAGCATTTGTGGAAGAAGCAAAGAAAGAACCCTAAATGCTTACTTAACATTTCATTTTTTCTAACTTATCCTATTCTTTCTTACTGCACAAATCATCATCCAATCAGTATATATCATGGGCCTACTCCACAGATAAATGTGTGAATAAATAAAACTCAGTCTCTGCATTCCTGCATTTCCTTATAGTTTAATAAGGAAACAAAATATATTCCAAAAAATAAAATCATGACATACAATCCAATATGCATATCAAGGAAATAAAAATACAATAAAGTAAAAAACACTGTCTTAAAATGCTATAGAAATGTAAGGAGGACAGATGACAGAAGGTATGGCAGAAATGGCATATGAACTGTGACACTGAAGGATTGGAAGAATTTTGCTCAGCTGAGAAGGGAAGAGGACATTTCAAAGAAATTGTGCATAAGTTGGTTGAGAGGGGAGAGGCAAAAAAGTAGCCTATTTGACTGCAGAATTAAGCTGGAAAAACAAACTAAGACTAGATTATGAGCAACCTTCAATGTTAGCATGAAGCATTCTGTTCTTATCTGACAGGCAGTGGACTTGTGGTGTGACCTGTAGAAGACACTGAAAAAGAGTGAACCTGCAGCAAATACTAGGAAGAGAGAAGAGGTTATCATACCACAAGAAAATGTACTCAAGGAAGTGAGACTCTGCAGGTGTTGGCAGTGGAAAGGAAGGGAAGAATTCATGCCTCTGACAAATGTGTCTTCTTCTGATTTCTTTAAGCAACTTGATATGTGAATCTGAATTCCTATGAACTGGCCTCACTAAGCACAAAGAAAAACAGTGAGACTCCTGTTTCGCTATGGAGCAATGAGTATAAGCTCAGGTTACTCAGTATCTAGGGAGCTTTAAAACATAGGTGCCTGGATTGTACAACCAAGAGATCCTAATTTAATTTGTCTGTAATACATCTTGGGCATAAATATTTTTAAATTTCCCTAGGTAATTTTAATGTGCAGCCAAAGCTGAAGAACAGTGTTCAAGACTTCCTTGTACAGCTACTCTGCTGGTTGTATCCTTGAGAACTTCAACTAAATTTCCTGCATCTCAGTTTCTCCATGATTAAATTGAGGCAATTGGTCAGATTATGTATAAATTCCATTTTAGTTCCTCCTTCTATATTGTACACTTATGTATATTATAGTTAGTATAACCACTAGATAAATTCTAAATCTGGAAAGAGCTGGTGCATAATATGTGTTTGGTACATTTTTTCCCATAAGACCAGTAGTTTTATTTTTTATTTTATTAAATAAATGAGTGAATGCTTTGTAAAATACATGTAAACTAGAAATATAGTTTAAACCTCTAAATTCTAACACCTAGCTTACCTCAAATGAGTCACAATCCTGCCCAGTAGGTATATAGGACTCATACACATATTTAATAGTTACCAGTGTTAAATCTGTAATTTTTAAAAATTTTACAAAATGAGTTGATGTCAAAGAGGTTGGTTGCAAAATAAATTATTTTTAAAACATATCTAATTTCCAGTTAATTTTCAGTATGAAATTGGAGTGAACTGTCACCAGCAATGAAACCTCATTCCTAAGCTGTAAATTAGAAGGAGGGCAGAATATTTTAAAGTAAGCAATCCTGGGACTTCTTAGCCACCATGGTCCATAATGGAACCTCAGGTTTCCTGCCTTACCAGTTAGTTTACTTTTCAATATTCCCTGCAATTTTGCAAATAGAGCTACAAATCACATCTACTGTTTATTGAACATTTTAGAGCTTACCACACTATCATTAGTCTTTCCCATCATCTTTGCTTTGCACCTGAAACTCATTTTTATTACATCACTCACAAGGCTGGCATCTTAGCATTAGCCCTTCCCTCGCCTTCTCCAAAGCTTAGTCTCTCTAAGGATATAAGATTTAAACTAATCTCAGAAGAAAATCTAAAAATTCCTTCACCTCGGGATTGAAGATAAAGAATGTGAGGGTTGCCTACTTTCTTGACTTCATAAATTCAAAATTTTGTATTAGAAAAATTTTAAAGAACAAACTGTGAGGCACCCTGCTCAGGGATCTACATCAAGAGGCTGTGAAATCGCAATCGAACCTCTGCTCTCAGGTAACTTTCATCTTTCCACTCACAATTCGGGAAGACTTCCTCTCCCTGAGCTTTTTTGCTCTGAAGAGCGAGGACTTGTGCACACACATATTTAATAGTTACTAAGTAAGAATGTTAAGTCCTGTCATTTTTTTTAAAAAATTTGCAGAAGGGATTTATTCCAATGAAGTTTGTTTCAAAATAAATTATTAAAAAATATTCTATTTCCAATTGAGTTTCAGTTTGAAATAGGAGTGTTAAAAAAAAAAGCAGGTTGGAACAAGTAAGATCATCTTCCTCTCAAGTAGAGCACAGGAGTTACAGAATGGTCCTGAGAGTCTTATCTTAGCCTATGTTTGAAAACCCAACATTGTTCTTTACTGAAGCCTCCAAACTTCCCCATAAAAGGCCCTTAAATGGTTATCATCTTGGGATTCTTCATACTACAATTGCCATTAGTGTTACCATGATTGAGTGCATGACCTCTGTGAATTTAATGAAAGTTCCAGAACTTACTATGAATATAGTTCATTAAAGTTCAAGATTAACCTAAATGTCCATTTTGCATTTTATATTCACAACAGCTCTGAGAGATAAGTAGAGTCTCATTTAATAAATAAGAAACTCAAGACTCAGAAAGGTAGTAACTCGCCAAATTCCACATGTCCTGAGCTGAGAAATGGAGATACCAAGCCTGGCTATCTAACTGTTCCATTTCAAGAACTCTACCCTTGTTTATTTACTTCAGATTTCTAAGTTTTCCTTTTTACATATTTATTCTATACAATTAAAGATGCTAGAATCTTAGGATATGTTCTAGGACAGCCTATTTCTCCAGATGAATGGACTCCTAACAGAGGAGGCAATCTGCCCCTTGGGGAAGCTTGACCTTTTATTTTTGTTTATTTTGGCAGCTATGACAACTGGGTGATAGCAATTGACAATAGGGAAACTGCTCAGCAATTGAGTTTCATTGTTTTAAAAAACTTGACCTAACATTCATAAAACTCAAACAACTGTCTGTATAAATGTAAGAGAAAACATGCTAGTTTATGTGGTTATAGTATAAATGTTAACTAATCATAATCCAAGCAGTACAAATTTAATATGGTAAAAAGGAGTAACTCAAATACATTTGAAGGACAGAGTTTAATCTAAGGTCATTTTGTAAACATAAGCAAACTCCCTGGAGTATTCCTCAGTGGTTATCTTTCCTGTAAAACTAACCCTGTTATGCACAATTTAAATTAGGTAATGATGCTATTAAGACCTAATGTGTGTTGAGTATCTACTGTGTACCTGGCACTGTATGATCTTAGTATTTCTAAATTTATCAATTAATATTAAAGATAGGCATTATCATTTTATAGATAAAAAACTGAAGTTCAACAGTTAAGAAATTTTTCTAAGGTTACACTGTTAAAAGGATAAAGTGAGATTTGAACTGAGTTCTGTTTGACTCCAAACTGACTTTATAATATTCTACACTATAACCAAGGGTTAAGGGTTGGCATAGTGGCCAGCTTAACTTTAACCTTGTATCTGAGGAGTGAAAAGATTAAATTTCTGTAGCATCGGCAGTTGCCTTAAATGTACTTACCTTTAGTTCTGGCTTTCTGATGGCTCTATTTATGATATACTCCTCATCTGTAATGAGAGGGTGGTCAGGAGTGAGACCAAATGTGCTGCTTAATGCTGACAGGTAGATCCACATTACCTTTTTCCTAGAATAAGTTTGGAATTCATCCTGGAAACAGACACCAAAACCCCCATGAAGTTAAGAGAAATCAACAGGCTAAAATTCAACCTGAAAACCATATTTGGTATAATTTCATAAGTTTGTGAAGTCAGTGAGCATTCTAGACAGAATTACATGTCTTTGAAAGATGATGGATATAGATTCCTTGGGGAATGGGGGCCTGTCTACTTATTCAGAAATCTGGAAGTAGATATGAGACATTGACACATATAACAAAGCTCAAGAATAGGAGGCACATTCTCAGATAAGAACTAGGTTCCTTCATTACCTTCCAGACCATAGGGCTACAGCCCTATTTTGCATCTGGCCAGATACAAAATCTTATAGGAAGAAAAGCAAAAACAAGCATTCTAAAGTTTTCTGTGGATCTCTGAAAGTGAGGAAACCAAGTCAATTGAGCCATCCCCATCTTTCAAGGCTTAACTCAAATTCCACCTCTCCAGAGCAACCCCTTCAACACACTCCCACCAAGAAGCAGAGTAGAAACTGTCACTATGCTAATTCCCAAAGGGTTTAACTCTCCCTCTCTTGTGCTGTCGTCATTTCCTGTATGTATTCTCATAGTTCTTCTAGACCACGCTGAAAGTAAGGATTTCATTTTACTATTCCTTATCTCACCCTTAGTGTGATTGAGACCTGATTGATGAGAGTGCAATGAATGGCTAAAAAAGACTGACTGCATGGACTGAACATTACCAAAACAAACTGTCAAAACGTTAGCACAGGAAGGATTGAAGAAGGTTCCTTACTGCATGACCCTACTTGAAATTATTTCCCTTTGCAATTCACTGATAACTTCATCACAGAATAAAGCTAAGAGCAACACAGGCTTGATGAACAGATACAATGTTCCAGATTGATGTGATAATAACAGTATTCAGTATCTCACTGAGTACAGGCTAAACATAAAGCACACCTGGATGTGTGATAAACCTCAGGAGATAAGAAGGATGACAAGGAAAGTCAAGCCCAGGAAGTCAATGCCTGGGGAATCATCTCCACCACCATGCCCACATTTGCCTTAAAGATATTTGAGCTGACTCTGCAAAAGGCAGAGAAGAGAAAATGCTGCAGTTGTATCTTCTATTGATCCTCCCCCACCTCTGAGCCTTTGCTGCTGCTTCCTTATCCTGGAATACATTCCCTCTCTCCTCTTCACACGGTGAGGTCCATGTGAAGATCCAAACCATCCTTCAGGGGCCAGCTCAAAGACCACATCCTGGGAACCACCTTAACATCTCTGGGGTAACCTTTCCTCTCAACCATCAGGATACTCAAAATTCTTACTACAGTCTTCCCTTTGCCTGTCTACCTTATCACTCCTCTTGGACTGCCTGACATGTGTCTGTGCTCCAGGCAGTCCTAACACAGAGTCAGAGAGGAAGAAAGAGATAAGGGAGGGAAGGAGAAAGAGAAAAAACATGAGTTAAAGGGCAACACAGCAAAGAAAAAGAATAGGAGAGAAGAGAGAAGGGAGAAAGGAAATAGCCTTTCTAGAAATTTGAAAGTTAATGAATTAATTATTCAAAACTAGTGAAATTAGCCAAGCATGGTGGTACACATCTACAATCCCAGCACTTGGGAGGTTAAGGAAGAAGGATCTCAACTTGGAAGCCAGCCTAGGACACATAGCAAAACCTATCTAAAAACAAAAACAAAACCCTAATGAAATTGATTATTATCCTATGCAGGGAGAAAGATAAATAAACCAAACCAAGCCAAATTTGTATGGAATTATTTTCAAAGCCTGAAGGAGTGACTGAAGATGACTAAATTTCCAATAACTGAGCTACTGAACTAGTGGGCATGTTCTAGATCTGCTAGAACCAGCAGCCAACTCTCTAGAACACATCTTGACACAGTTCAGTATTACATAGCTTGCCTCATAAAAGGGAGCTTTGTTATGAGAAGAACTCTGAGTTTCTAGTAATAATAGTGATAATAATATTTAGTGCTTACTATGGTCAAGATACACAGTGCTATATTTATATTATTTCATTTAATGCTCAAACATCCTGAGAGGTAGTTACATTGATTATCCTTCCACTTGATAGGTCAGCAAATGGAGACTCAGTAAGTATTGGATCAGAGATTTAATAGTTCTTCCCCACCACTGCTGGCCCCTCTAGAGTCCCCTCTTACCCTTGGCTCTATTCCATACTCTGCTAAAAAAATAATACAACTTGATGGGAATCACATTTTTATACCCAGCCTGAACTGGGACTGAACACAGTTTCAATTAAGAAACACTTTGTTAAAAAGCACATAATTTGTTGATAAATAAGAACACAAATTGTGAGTCATCAAGTCTCACCAAGTGAAGACAATTAGGAAGACAGTAACTTTTGATCCTCTTAAGTAATTAAAATACTATCAATTACTAATTTTCTTGTGGCTTGTGCAAAGCACTTTGAATTCTGCACTATGTAACAAGTAACATCCAGTTTCTTACAATCTTTTCCTACTTGGAAGCACAGAATCTGATTCCCAAAATCAAATTGCCACCCTCTGGCCCCAAATGACAGCTAATAGCCCTTTGGATTATAAGGTCTAAAATGGACCATTGGAACCCCCAAATTCTCAAAGTCCAGTGTTAATTCAATGCACCATTGCATGCCTTAGTCCAGGTGGGTATTAAAAACTGAAGTTTATCTGTACCCACTTTACACCCTACCAATAACTTACAGATCTGCATAAAAAAAGTAGAATTCTATTGCAAATTAAAAAGATAAGCCAGTTAGGTGATCATTTTTCTTAGAGTAAGGTAGTGACACTAACTTTTCTCCTATTCCTTACTCTGTTGAGAAATCTGTCAAATTATTCAATTATTAAGGGAAAAAAGCAAAGGAATGGAAGGAAAGTATGTCAATGTGAAGTGGTCGCTTCAGGTAATATCAACTTTTCTGGGTTTACATCAAACTTGATGTTGTCAAATGTGGAAAGAGTACCTCAAACTACTTTGCAACTATCTGTGCCTAATTTTCTTTACCCAATAAAGTAGAGATAATAATATCACATGTCATGAATGTTGAATGGATTAAATGAAATAATACATAATGCCACTGGTCCCAGGTCTGGTGCAGAGAGGAGGGATGCAACAAATGCTAGTTGACATTCATAGTATGTTGTTCTTGAGATCTTTCAGAAAGAGGAATTCATTTTCCTTTCTAGGAAACTTTAGAATCGCTGACGGTGTCTCTATTTTCTGGAAATGGTTTCTTCCACTTCAGTCTGTTTCCCAGGTCTCCTCCAAGAAGTTAATCTATAAAATACTTAAATGTATCAAAGGAGCTACCATTTTAATTGAATAATTGGCTTGTAATGTGAACAATTTAAATGATTTGTCTAGAAGATCTGGACTTTTTATACCTCAAGTCTCACTGAACTGGCTAATCAAAAGAATTAACTAGATTAGGCCTAGAACTCTAAAACAGTAGGCTTCAGAATAATTAAAGATTGCATTTCAAAAGTTGAGTGAAGATGTAAGACCTATGTTTGACTTAGACAAACAGCAAGAAACTGGGCATTTTTTAAATTCCTTGTGGCCTTTCTTTCTGAACCTGAAAATGCCAGATAAACTTTCATATTTGAATAAAGTATATTTAACAATCTATGTTATCTTGCTGTTCTCATTCCACACTTTTTCTATGAACACTTCAACCCTTGGAATTTAAAAGCAGTATAATACTCACTTCAAGTTCAGGCCAAGCCCATGGCTTTTGTGTAGTAGTTCAGTATCCAAAAAAAAAAGAACTTCTCCTTAAAAAGAAAGGGTAACCCATTGCAAAGTTCCAAAGAGACACTAGAAAATTAATACTTGTCTCTTAGAGATGGGTACACTGCAATGACGTACTCTAGTTAAGGTGAATTATTTAGAGGATTATGGATAAAGTGATAAAAACTTTCATTTTTCTAGCTCCTCTAAAAGTCTGCATTGCCTCTATACATCCATAATATTGGTAAATACTGTTCTTTTTTATTTGTAAGTATTATTTATTTTCTTTCTCTTTTTCCCCTCTTGACCAAGCTCATTGATGTTATTCAGACCCTGACCTCATATTACCAATGTTGCTGAGCTGAAAGAAGTTTGACTATGGCTAAAATGTTGGATTTAGTTTTATGATATATAGAGAAAGTTCTATGCATTGGTTAAATTCCACAGTAATTATCATCTCAGTACTGCTGGGACATTTACTGACCAAAAAGTGAAGGAAGGCAAGAAGCAGTGAATGTATATGACAAAGCAATGGCTGTGTCTCTGTTTGTATGAGAAGGAAAGAAGGAGGAAAGGATGGGGGCAGGGATTGAAGGAGGGAGGCAGGGAAAGAACAACAACTGAGAGATTGTTATTGGAAGAGATTGTTTTTTTGGTTTGTTTGTTGTTGTAGTTGTTTTCTGAGTGGAGAGAGGGTAGAGCATTAAATGGCTCATTGTCTGAAACGTGGAGATGCAGGGTGTAGTAAAACAGCTAACCAATGACCATGGAATGTTTGCATACCAGGTACAGTTTCACCCCAGCACTTTACACATACCACCTTATTTAGTCCTCACAAGAAGGGAGGAACTGGTATTTGTGTCACTTAACTAAAGAGGAAATGGAGACAAAGAGGAGTTAAGTAACTTGCCTCTAATGGAATGAATAGTCCTTGCCCCTCCCCTCCCAATTCATGTGTTGACATCTTTACCTCCAATGTATTTGGAGATAGGGCCTTTGAGGCAGTAATTAAGGTTAAATGAGGTCATAGGGTGATGCACTAATCTAAGAGGACTGACATTCAACAACAAAGAGACACCAGGAATGAGAGAGCATAGAGGAGAGGCCATGAGAGGACATTGTGAGAAGATGGTCATTTACAAGCCAGGAAGACAGGCCTCACCAGAAATTGATGCTACCAAGTCTGTGGTATTCTAGTGTGCCAGCCCTAGCAGACAAATATATCACCAAGGTAGGGCAGGAACAGCACTGGGAGTCATATCCAGGCACCCAG